TGCCGGCCCTCTTCGTCCGTGGTTCTTGGACGAGAGGCAGCGCTGGGGCGGCATCACCAGCAACAGTAAGGTCCACGACGGGACCGCCATCGCCCACGCTGGGGACAGTAAGCGTACCGGCCTCACTAGCCGGAGAAGGGGAAGGAGCCCTCTTCGTCTTCTTAGAGACGCTCACGCCGGCCTCGGTCAGCTTTTTCTGGCCGTCAGTGGCCGGTCTCTTTTTCTGGGATGGGGCAGGCTTTGGGGCCGCATCTGCAGTTGCCCCGCTCCCACCGGCCGCGGCACGCCTGGCCGCTTCGGCCGCCTTAGCAGCAATCTCCTCGGCCGCTTTGGCCTTCGCAATAGCCATCATGGAACGGCGGTCCATGACAAAATCTACAAGGGAAAAGCACAAACAGATTAGTAAAGCAAAGGACAAAACATAAAGACAGAAAGCCGAAGAAAGAATTACCATCGGCCTCAGCAGGAATGCCCAAGTCTGGGCCGTCGGCCTCCTCAAAGGTGGTGGTCATCCTCGGCCAGAGATGGAGGTCATCCTCCTTGTCACCATAAACATAGTACCTCACGAAGCCGAAAGCGGCCATCTTGTACTCGGTGATGTAGTCTTTCACGCTCCTCGGCCCCCCCTCCAGGAAAGCCTCCACCTGAGCGTCCAAAATAGAGCTCTTCGGCGGATCGTGCAGATTAAATCTCCCGGTGTGGCCGAGGGAGGGAAACTCGGTGCCACTCTCACCGATGGACACAAACACGAACTTGCTCTTCCACCCATGAATGGACGTAGGCAAATCCGTGAAGCTCCTCTTCTTCGGCAGCTGCTGAAGAGTCGCGTAGGCCGCACAGTTCTTGTGGCTTCCTCGGCCTATCTGGTACAGATTCATGAACAACGCCGTTGTCGGCTTATAGCCCAACTCCTCACACCGGAGCAAGAACCCCACCATCAGGGAGTAACTGTTCGGCGTCAGCAAGGCCGGAGGAAGCCCTACCATATCCAGGTACTCAGTAATGAAAGGGTGGAGAGGAAACCTCAACCCCTTAGCAAAACTCATCGGGTATACTCCAAAGTATCCCGGTGGTGGAAGAAGAACATGGTCCGTCGGCTTGGGCGCCCTAACCCGCCCGAACGGCCCCACGTACATCTGGGCAACCAGATAGTCGGCCGCACTGCTCTCCGGCTTTATCAGGTAGATGTTGGTGAGATCCAAGTAGGAGACGCCGGGCCCACTCTTCGGCCTCCTCACTCTTTTCGGCTTGGCGGCTCCCTTAACGGCGGACACCGGCCTCGGGCACGGAATGACAGCAGAAGTGGACGCCCCGTCCACCACTCGGGACGCATCTACGTCCTCACCCTTTGAAGAGGATGCGGACTCCTCGTCCTCGCCCTCCTCGTCCATCAGCTCCGCGGACTTGTATGGACTTAAACGCTCAATCTCCTCCTCAAACTCCTCGAGCACCTCGTAGTCAAGCGACCTCGTGGAGGGCTGGTCGTCGTAGGGGTAGTAGTCGTCGTTCAAGCTCTTCATTACTACTACTACGGGCTTAAGGAGAACTTACGATCTAAAAGTGTTTAGATGCCTAACACTAGATCAACTACTTACGGAGCAAAATATGAAAAGCGAGGAAGATCGTGATGAACACTAACCTCGAACAGCGAAGAACACGAAGAACAGGCTTGGGAGTTTATCTCTCTAGAAAATTGGCCAGCACTTCGACAAATTCAGAATGCAAACGTGATTCTTCGTCGGAGGGGAAGGGGTATTTATAGACCCCCCCACCAACGGTCACTACACGTGGCACTCTCCCAATGGCCACATCAACGGCCACCACTAGGGGGCCACCACGTCACCAACGGGCCAGGACCAACCCATATCAACGGCCCACTGGCAAATCAGACTCTACGGCCTACACACGCTCAACGGCTTTACAACTGCCAGCAAGCGCCCACGACGTCCCATCTGCTTGCCAATTTCACAAATGCCAGACAATAAGTGGACGACAACGGCCAGGAACGTAACGGCCACAGAACAAAGGGGACAAATAGCCCACAGCCTTCGGCTCCTCGTACTAACCCTTGATGATAACTCTCTACAAGCGATCTGCGCACAAGGGTTCTCCCACAGGGTTACCTTGGCCAGAAAATCGCCATGAGAGTTGGATTCAGGGGGACTACGGCGAGACCGCTTCGGCCAGGGAATCAAGCAACTCCTTCACCCCTCACACTCTTCGGCCTGAAGCAGTGGGGGACTGGGGGACTACACCGACCTCAACAAAACAAAAGAGTGCGAATAAGGTAACCACAAAGCATGGCCACATCATCCATACAGCACAACAGAACTTCATCGGCCAAAGGCCCATAACGTCACTAGCAACGGCCAACAAGCCACTAGAGGCAAGGACACTCATCGTCCTCCGCCAACAATTAATTTTGACGGGCTCTTCGGCCAAGAACATGAAGGCCAACCAGAAACGGCCAAAAGGAGTGCGCGAGCACCCTCATCGGCCACCCAAAGGAAAGGGCGCCATCATCCTCAAAGCAAGGAACAACCTCACCGGCCCAAACATAAACTTCAACCACCAACGGCCAGGAAAGGGAAAGCGCGCCTTCAACGGCCACCGTTGAAAAAAGGACACTCATCGTCCCAAAACAAAATAAGGAAACAACGGCCTCCCCGCCCACAGCGAGGAACAGGATCACCAAAGAGGAAACAACGCCAACGCTGCAACGGCTAACGGCCTGGAAATGCCCGCGTCGGCCAAAAGCAACAAAGCACAGAAATCTACTCTCCTTCACTTCGTCTACGTCTCAGCTTAGAGAGTGGGGGACTCCTGATGGAGTATATGGGTCTGAGCCCCAGGACCCACATACTCGGAAGAACATAGCACAAGACAACAGAGTGGCGCCCTCGTCGGCCATGACGCCCCCGTCGGCCGAAAAGGTGCCAACTCAGATTACGGTCCTGAGCCTGAGGGACTCGGGTGCCCTCGTCGGCCGTGCCCTCGTCGGCCACGCCCTCGTCGGCCACGAAGACCTCCCAGAATCGGATCCTATACTTACTCATTTGTACAGCCCATTAGAGGCTTTGTATTCGGCCCAGTAGCGGTCCAGTTGTAAATGGGCCTCCCAAGCCCAAGGCTTGGGAGCCCAACCCTAATTTTCTCTATAAATACTCCCCTTGGGAGTAGTTATAGGGGTTACAAATTCATTCTATTGAAGCATATTATTGCACTTCTCTCTCTAGCTCTCACTTCTCTCTAGAATCTAAGAGATATACTCTATCACTACATAATCTCTACTTATTATGGAGTATCTACTTATTATCTACTTATATCTACTAAATACATACATATTACAATTTATATCTACTTAGTTAGAATTGTTAGAATTTTATTTCATTAAAGTTAGAATTGTTAGAATTTTATTTCATTAGTTTGAATTGTTTTTATAAATTAATATTTGTTACATTTTAAAGATGGAACGTGGTAGATATTCGGTTGTTACATTTTGCGAGGAAGAAATCCCGCAAGGTAAATCACATATTGGCTCTTCATCTCAAAGCCGAGATGATTTTGATACAGATTATGCAAGGAGGGATGGGGATGCCATGACCGACGAACAACTTGAACAAGAATTGCACCGACATAATAGTCGGTTTTTCCAAGACCAGCCGAGGACCATTGACGAAGAAGAGCTCGAGGACGATGATGTGGAGGAAGTAATTCCGGAGAGCCACGACGGTGACGCGGAGGAGGGTGGCGGCAGCCACGACGCCGGCGAGCTTGCCTCATCCCAAACAGGTACGAAAAAAAGTAGATCTGAACTAATGCAAAATAATTTTGATAAGCGGAAGGACCCGAACACCGGGAATTGGAACACAATATGGCAACGCGCCCCCTCCCCTGACACAAACCTCTTCATCTAAAGGAAAGTCAATTTTGAAATCTACATTTGCCAATCTTATTAAAAAAACTAAAACAACACCCGCTACTCAGCAAAGCACAATTAATGAGATTTCTTTGTATTTAACATATGATGTTGATTTTGAAGAAGATGATGACTTTGACGTTCTAAATTGGTGGAAGGGAAAAGAAAGAATGTTCCCGGTTTTAGCAAAGATGGCTACGCAAGTGCTATCAATGCCGGTTTCAACAGTTGTCATCGAACAAGAATTTAGTTCAGCCGGCAATGTCCTAACGCAATGTAGAACGAGGTTGAGCGCAGAATCTCTTAAGATGCTTATATGCTACCACGATTGGTTGAAGGCGGCCCGTAGAGCTCAAGAAATTGACATCACCCCATCCCAACACTTTATGGATGAATCTACAACCGAGAGTGGCTCTACCTATTACGGAGATTTCGATTGATTAGTATTTCACTATTTCATGTTTTAATTTTACCTTCAATTGTAACTTGTAAACTTGTAGTTCATGTTTCAAATAAATATACGTTCATTTTTTTATATGTTGCATTTCTATAAATACTCCTATTTTCTAACATTTTTATACACAGATCTTCTCCAATCTCCACATTTTCTAATATTGTTATACACATTTTTATAAAACTATAAAGTATAAATTAAAAAAAAAAGTTTTTAACCGGCCCGGCCCGGCGGGTAGCCCGACCCGTGACCCGGGCGGGTGGCCCTGCCCGAACCGGACCCGCCTTTACCTCGGGCCGGTCCCGGCCTCCCGGGCCCATCATTCATAAACCGGCGACCCGGCTGGGCCCGAATCCATGCCTAGTTAAAAAAGTTAACGGAATGTGCTAGTATTAATCTAAGCCTCCTTTTCGTTGGAAAATCCATGATTAAGTAATTTTGCATGCAGAATATATCTATGTGAACGGGTATAGACGTGGTGTGCACCATGAGCGTACACGATGATGGTTTTTTCATAACTTTTAAACCTCCACATATTTTGGAGCAACCTGTCTAGCCAAATGAAAAAATAGCAGAAAGGGCTCATATAGAGGAAGAGGCCAAGAGCTAGACCTACTCTCCGTATGAAGACTTGTTTGAAACATTTGATCCTAGCTTACTTCACTGTGCATGAAATCCTTTTACAGAACATATATCTCTTTTTAAAATCAATTCACTATGGAAGCAATGAGCGATTTGGTGCGCTTCTGTATATCAGTTGCTTGTACAGAAACAAAATAATACTCTATCTATATATAAGATTATAAGTTTTGACTACTAGTTACACACTTCGAGCAGAAAGCTTCTAAAATCCAACAGTCATAAACCAATGCATTTTGCCCAGCGAAAACACCTGGCAACCTTTCTTGGCAGCGAATAGTCTGAAAAGGAAGACGGATCTGTGGTTATGTCTTCTGTAGTTGACCATATGTACACACCTCGCTCTTCTTTGGTTCCGGGGACAGTGTTGTCTAGTATGAAAGCCACCAACAGTGTAACCACCATGTTTAAGGACATAAGTGCATTCAGCGCAGAATCAAACTGCCATCAGTTTCCCACAATGAAATATGATGTTAGCTACACTTTTAAACACACAGAAGGGCTGTAAAACCCAGTGCAAAACCTAGGCTGTGTTTGTTTACAAAGAAAAATGTACTCATTAAAAACAGTTTTCTTCTTTTTCTATGTTAGCTACAGAAAATTATTATCCACATAAGGGAGATATTTTCTATGGTTCTTTACACTGGTTGAAAATGACTTTCCCTTCTGTGAAAACTGGAAATCATTTTCCTGAAACAGTTTCATGTTATGATTTTCAAGAAACAGGTAGGAAGAAAAATGTTTTTTAATTTACGTTCTGTGAGGAAAAATGTGGGCAGTCATGGTGCATTGCGCTTAGGCGGAGATTTTTAGAACACAGCCGAGTTTTAAGGAGTGGAATTTATCTAGGTATAGTGTTTGGATTCTTGGAAATGAACTAAATGTCTCGAATTGAGCCATACAATATGAAAAATGGGAAAATTACTATTACCCCTTTGAGGCTATGTAATATATTATTAATTACTAGTTCAACCTTGATAGGAATTATTAATAAGTGGGCCTGTGATTTTAATAGAAGGAAGAGGGTTATGGGCTATAAATAGTTGGGAAAATTAACTAATGAGGCAGGCTGTGATTGAATTGGCATTTTGGCTTAGGATAGTAGGCTTCTCGAACAGTCCTAGCTTTTGTATACGTATTGCGTTTAGCTCAATATCAATAAACACCTTCGATCGTTACTCCATATTTCTCATCGATCTATATTGTTTGCTGTTATATTACCTGTGATCTATCATTCCTATCATTGGTATCAGAGCAGTGGGGCGGTGATCGTTGGCAGTAGCGACATCACCGTATTTGCCCAATTTCATCGTTCGGATAGTGAATGGTTCGAACAAGAGGAAAAATGGAGCAACGTCTGGAAGCAGTTGAACGCAGTCGAACTACCATGGAGGAAGCACTGTTGCGGATGGAAACGATGATGCAGAACATGTCAGGAAGGATCGACACGATGATCGAGGACCACCATCACCGAGGGAGATCGCGATCTCACCATAGTCATCACTCGCGTCCATCGCCCAGTCCAGCGGTCTCAAGAGGTAACTCTGCTCATTCGAACCCTGCTATTCACAGATGACATGATGAGTATAATAGATTCCCAGTTCATACGGGTCGTAAGGTGGATTTACCATTGTTCAATGGTGATGGGGCTTATAATTGGCTAGTAAGGATGGAGAGGTACTTTAGACTGAATTATATTGCTGAGGAGGATAAGTTGGAAGTCTCGGTAGTGGCTATGGAAGACAGGGCTCTGAATTGGTTCCAGTGGTGGGAACTTCAGACCGAGGAGAAGAACTGGGAATCACTTAAGGAATCTATTATTCGTAGATTCCAACCTGACTTGTTACAGAATCCATACGGACCGATGTTGAGTTTGAAGCAGACTGGAACAGTTGAAGCATACAGGGATGAATTTGAGATGATCATTGCTCCACAGAAGAATGTTGACCGAGAAATACTAAGGGGGGTATTTCTCGCTGGATTAAAGCCAGAAGTCAAAGCCGAATTGAAACTGCATCAATCCAGGTCACTAGCTGAAGTAATGGATATGGCTTTACTGGTTGAGAAGAGGAATGAAGCAGTATCTGTTAAGAGACAGGAGGATGAGAGATTGGGTGGAAGGGATAAAGAGTCAGTTTATGCTAAACCTCCCAGGTGGGGAGAAGGTTTCAGAACAAGAGCTGGTAGTTCAGGGGTTCAAAATCAGAACAAAACTAACCAGACTTGGTTTAACTCAGCAGGGAATAAGGAGACTGAAATTCATTCTTCAGGGATAAAAAGGGTTGGACCTCAGCTATCACAGGATGAATACCAAGAGAGAAGTAGGAAGGGGCTTTGCTTTAAGTGTGGAGAGAAGTGGAATAAAGAGCATACCTGCAAACTGAAGCATTATAAAATGATGCTTGTAGAAGATTCAGATGCTGAGGAGGAATCTGAAAGGATAGATCCTCAAATTACAGAAGAAGAAATTGTAATGGAGTCCAAATCCATGCAATTGTCACCCATGAGTAAGGAGGGGATACCTACCATGAGAGCCTTCAAAATTAAAGAAATTATGAAGTGGGATAGAGGGGTAAAACAAGTGGAAGTGCTGATTGATAGTGGGGCCACTCACAACTTCATTTCTAAGAAACTGGTGGATGAATTGGAGCTGCCTTTTAAAACCATTTCAGGATACAAAGTGCAGGTTGGTAATGGAGAAAAGCTATCTAATGATGGAAGATGTGAAGATTTGACTTTATGTATGCAGGGTTCAATCATAAAACAAAACTTTTACTTTCTGACTTTGGAAGAAACTGACTTGGTTTTGGGAATGGAGTGGCTGACTACTTTGGGAGATGTGGAAATAAACTTTCGGAAACAAAGTATAAAATGGAAGATTCAGGGGTTAGATCAGCAGATTCAAGGGGACCCACACTTGAGCTCCATGGAGATATCACTGAAAAACATGACTCCGGTGGTGCAGGTGGTGCAGGACACTGGTGATGGTTATTGTATGTTTTATGAAGGGCAATCTGTGCAGGTAAAGAGTGTTGCTTGTGCTGGAAGTCAGGATAAAGTTCTGGAGGTTGACAACACTGTAATATTTCTGGGGGCTTTGGCAAAATCAGGGGTGCAAGATGATCCAAAGTATATTGCAATTGAAGAATCCAGGTTCACGCAATCTGATGCCAGGTTGGGGGTGATAGTAAAGGAAAGTGCAGGAAGGATGGGGAAGAAAATCTTGAGAACTGGGTTCGGAACTTACCAACTGTAGAAGTTTTACATTGAAGGTAGGAATTCTGGTTCCATACCAAAGCTAACAGCTGCTGAAATATCAGGTTCTGGATTGAGCTGGGCAAATGAGTTTGATTTTGTATATCAGTTGGGTGGACTCGATATAGAACTGGATTCTACGTTTCAGACGGTTGTGATTGCTATCTCACAGATAGGGCACCTCGTGGATCTACCTTTAAAACAAGGAAGTGAGAAGGGAATCACAGCTGCTAGAAATTGGTGGGGTGAACTGAACATTCATAGTGAAATTATGCAGCAAATAACCGGGAACCATAGCTCTCTTCATTGGCAATCTAAACAGGAGGTTGGGAAGGACCCAACAGTGTCAGTACACCTGCTCATTCTGGCGGTGGTAGAGGTCAAGGGGATGGCCCAAGTGCTGAAGCTAAAGATCCAGAATGCTTTGTGGTACTGGGTAGGGAGAGGGGCTCGGATGAAGATGAAGTTGATAATCAAGGCTGACTCCTATCACCCACCTTGAGGACAAGGTGGTTGTTTAGGGGGGGAGTAATGATAGGAATTATTAATAAGTGGGCCTGTGATTTTAATAGAAGGAAGAGGGTTATGGGCTATAAATAGTTGGGAAAATTAACTAATGAGGCAGGCTGTGATTGAATTGGCATTTTGGCTTAGGAGAGTAGGCTTCTCGAACAGTCCTAGCTTTTGTATACGTATTGCGTTTAGCTCAATATCAATAAACACCTTCGATCGTTACTCCATATTTCTCATCGATCTATATTGTTTGCTGTTATATTACCTGTGATCTATCATTCCTATCAAACCTTGTTTTTCAAAAGTTAATTATGTTCTTTCAGTTTAGCACAATTTTATTATCATGTTCTTTCAGTTTAGGTAAGATATTTAATGTAACCCATAGATAAAGAAAATAAGAGTGACTAACTTGTGTACTCCCAGTGTGGACTGGTCCACTAGAAGCAGCGGCATAAGGAAGGAGATAAGCAGGCAAAATTAAGGAGGACACGGGCTGATATTGCTGAATGTAAGATGGGATGGAGAAGCCAAGGAGCAAAGAGACTCCAACAATCATGATGTTCCGGAAACTTGCTGTTTGAGTATATTGCATTGTTGATAAACCCAAAGCCATCACCAGTGCCCATATGAAGCACAATATGGCAGCTGCCAATGCTTGTGGTATAGATGCAATAATAGCACCCACTTTGCCTATAAAAAAATAGCATTTCAAGTCCAATATTAATATGACTTTAGAACATTTGCGGAGACAATGTACGAAGGATTAATGTCTGAGTATCATTTTCCTCAAACAGCACAACATTATTTATCATTTCTTACATCATTTCCTACCATAATTTCTCATTTCTTGAACAAAGATGGTTTAAACGTGCATACCTGCAAAGGAGAAGATGATCAAGAAAATCGATCCAAATTCTAATGCCCTTCGGCTTGCTACTTGGGTGACATCAATTGTATGCACGTTCTCTATCAGTGTTGTTGATCCGGTACCTGTTCCCCAAAGTCCAGCTAGAACACTGCAAAACCCTTCCATGCCAATTCCTCTACTCACAATACCAGGAGTTGGAGTTTTCAAGTTGATTCGCATCGATGCCGAATGATAAGTTCCAACCTGTTTAGTCACAACAATGCTTCAGTTTAAAACTAAGTGTCCATTTCGAATTCGGATATGAGTGACAAATAAATTAAACGGAAGATATATGGGAGGAATAACAAAAATGGTAGGGTAGAATAACAAAAATGGTTCACACTGACAAAAATGGTTCACACTCTGTAATTAATTTTAGATATTTGTTTGAAGTCATTTTAATTAAGTATTTTATTATTATTATATAAACACTGAAACTTTTGGGGTTGAGACCCACGGTAAATAAATAAATAAAAAAGACAAAGAAATCAAACTATATGTGAAATATTAGAAGTGCTGATCAAAATTTGATTTCCCTAATAACTTTATACGGTAAAACCAAAATGAGAACATATCATTTAGGTTAGTATATATTTTCCTTTCCCTACCATTTATCCTATTCTAAACAAAGCAACACTAAACATGAATAACATTAAAAAAAGGAACACAAACACACACAACCCTCAAAACAAAATTACAGCATCCAAACATAGAGTATGCAAAATGGAAAGAAGGTTACTCACCGAATCAACAGAAGCAACTAGTGACACAATTATCATAACAAGTGAAGTCCTAAGACGGAAGATAGGCATACCCCACTGCAAAGGGTAAGGGATTCTGAACCATTCAGCAGTCTTCATAGCATTTGACACATCAGTCCTACAATGTCTCATTGTATATGCGTGCTTCCTACATGCATCAATAAGGATATTTGAACTTGGTATGTCAGAAGTGCAGCCCTTGTAGTTATAAGCCCCACCAGCTGTCAAAAAGAATGCATATGCCCATGTAATTACAACACTTAATGGAACCTGCAGAAAGTTTTTGAAAGAAGTGATGAAGAAAGGCATTCAAACTGATAGAGTGATTTCCAGTGGAGGGGTTAAGGTTAATTGAGGGAAGTTACTCAGATTAAAACCAGTACAAGACTCCTACCGCATAGATTCTGAACACTCTATGTCCAAAAATAGATATTCCTCGAAGATACTGCAAGAGAATAAGAAGAACTCAGTGGTAAATGAAAACCTATTAATCATTTTACAGAGTCTATAAATCATTTAGGGTCTGTTTGCTGTGGGAAGTGCCAAGGAAATAGAATAGGGAGGGACACAATAGAGAAACTTACAAGAAAATAAAATGTTATGGGAAACAAAACTACGTTTAGTTATCATATAAAACTAAGCGATCTATACACATGATGACATGAATAAAATTATAAACATCAATCATGTTTTATTTTCCTTTGCATTTCCCAAAATTAATCCAACCACTAGAAAACTATTTTTCCTTGGCATTATTTTCTAAGATCCAAACATTGCCATTAAGTTGCTCACCAGGGTAAAAGCAAGAACAAGTAGTATCTCGGGAACGCTGATTTCTATACAGCTACCAGCTTGAGGAAAGCCATAGCTGAAAAAAGCTAAACCCACTGCTGCAATTGTAGGAGCAACCACAACAGGGTTTATCAACCTGCAACAGTGTGATCTTCAGATATGATAAAACTAATAATTCCTCAAATTAATCATAAGTTAAGAAAAAGAGATTGAAACATATAGATGATTCAAATATACCACAAGTAATAATTCCTAAATTGAACGGTAAGTTAAGAAACAGAGCCTGAAACATTAGATGCTTCAAGTATGCCAATTATGCATTCCCCTGTCCCCACTATATACCACCCTACCAGATCAACTAAATGTGCAGAGTTCATAATAAAAGAAATACATATTAACTTGCCTTAGAAAAAGAGACATCAAGCCACTGAAACCAAAGATGCTCTGGAATATTGAACCAACTATTATAGCACCTTGTAACTCCCTCATTATGTGCTTAAATTTCTGAAACAGACAAGTGCAAAATTTTTGCATTAGTGAGAAGTTTAAAAATTTGCAAGAAAAATTGAACGAAGGTGAAATGCAATTGAATAAGAAGAATCATTTCACACAATATAAATGAAATGCAAATGAATATATATTCAATTGAAATGCAATACAACAGAAAATCAATATCCTTGTTTGAAACTTTATTTCACAAAATTATACTGAAAAATCTATTTTGGCCAATAAATCCTTGAAATAACAAGCACTATTAGCAAATGCAGATGAGTAAACTTCTGAGTCGAAGTGGTCAAAAAGCACATTGAAATAAACCTAAATCATTAAACATACATTTTCTGCTAGATTTCGGTACTCCTCTGAATTTATGATGACTAATGCAGGCGCCAAATACACGAAAGAACTCCCTTGAACTAATGGCAGCCGGGTACCAAAGTATGAGTGCAGTACTGTGGTAAGGCCAGACACTAGCAATGTTGTGGAAATAACAGTAGCTGTATCTTTCTGTATCATTTGAAAAGGGAAAGAAATGATAATAAAAAAAAAGATAACCTTTAAAAAGGGTTTGTAGAACAAGATCCTTACATCACTTCCACCCATTGCAGGTACAATGATCAAAGGCATAAAAATAAGTGATCCAACCAATGACACAAAGTGCTGCAAACCATAGTAGATAAGTGGCACTGCAGTAAAGAGACCATAAAAGTAAAAAATTAAAATATGATTTCTCTGGTGATGGGATGACTTGACAAAACTTCATTTCTGGTACCTAGGTACCTATTGTCAGTTTAGCATGTACAACAAGAACAACAGATGAGCCTTGATCTCCATTACACGCAAGCGCTTAAAAATGATTCTAATATCACTAAGAACCCGTTTGATTAGGTCTAAAATGGTTGGAAAGGCTGAATATAATAAAATTGTAGATACATTTTGGCTCAGTTACCTAATTCCACATTGTAGCTGAACAAAATGTGCTTTTATTTTATTTAAGAAAAGTATTTTAGTGCTTTATTTTGAAAAAAAATGAACATATTATTATTTGAAACACATTTCTAGATAACATTGTGCAAAACGTTTATCTTTTATAATACCAAAGCCTACTTTTTTTAATTAGCACAAAGCATCCTAAAAATCAAGACTACCTTGCATAAGACATATAAAGTTATAAACATCTTAGTTTAAAGGACTATGCAACTACTACAATCAATATAGTCTCCATCCTGGACTGAAAGCAAGGATTAAAGATATGATAAAGTGACACTAAACACACTAACCGTATCCCGGATTATCTCGTAATCCACATTTAATTTTCGGGGACTGTTTCCATTCTTCATGAGCTGGAGGATCCTTCCAGTCAGGGAACACTCTAATCCCCATTTCATGATCCAAATTCCCATCATCTTTCTTTGAACCCACTGTTGAAGCAGTTGGCTGGACAGCAATGGAATTATTATTTGCAATAATCCCATTCAGAGCATCTTTGCCATCCTCAACCCTCAAGTTTTCCACAAGCTCAACCTTCTTTTCCTCGTTCTCACCCCTTAAAGTCTGAATCTCAACCACTTCATTCCTCCTAGTCCTCCCCAAAATGGGGTCAAGCTCAATCTTTGGAGACGCAGACTCAATCTTGTCGAACCCCCTCTCGAATTCAAACCTTATATTCCTCTCACCCAAATCCCTCCCGCTAAGACTTGCTGGGTCGGTCTCCCCGGATAAATGGGATACGAACCCGGTTTTTTTAGCCCATGTTTTCAACTCTTTCGGGTCATAGCCTTTCTTGGGTAGAAAAGGTTCAATCTTGGGCACCCCAGCAGCGGAAGTACTACTGCCCGGCTTCTGACCCTTTTGCCTATCCGCCTTCTCCACGCCCTTTACTGAACTCGACCCATTCTCCATCCGAACTTTTAATTCCACACAGATTAACGATACACTCTCTTTAATGTAGAGGGTGGGAGTAGCTGTTGCTTAGAGTTTGGTTACGTGAAGTAGAGAAGAACAGAGCTGAGGGAACTAGTTAAAACTAGAACCCACATAGAAAGAGCAAGAGGAAGACGTACCTGATCTATTTTTAGTTACTTCTTTGCTAATTTTAGCTACCCTCTGTCCCTCTGTTTCTTTGCTTTTCGCCATACGCAGTATCATACTTCGTATCTTACAGCTAGCATGTTGCCGTAGGGAATCGTTAAAGCTGTTTCCTGAGGTAAATAAATAAATTGAATTCAAGCCCGGAGGGATAATAGTCTATTATTGGCCTACTATATAATTAAAAAATCTCGTTAAAAGAATATCATAATAAAAATTTATTTCTTCTTTTTTTCTCTTTCACCTGTCCAAATTCGCCCATTTTAATCAAATGCACAAATTTAATAAAGTTTCTAAATTTTAATGAAATGGTAAATAACAAGTTTGAATAACAGTATTTTGAACACAGTCCCAACAACTCAAAAATAATGTAACATAACAAGTTAATACAGCTATAAAAGCATTTAAAACACATTCATAATTTCATACAATGGTTGTTTTAATAAAAGGGTAAAAACACATGATCGTACAAAAAAATACACATTGATAACATCACATATTCTTTAACAATTATAATTATTATCCCTTCAAAAATTTAGGCGCAATATCAATATTTGTGCTTAATCAATTCTGTCTGCATACGAAAACAAGAAATGTGAAAATTTTCTATGCACAACTTATGTTTGTATACAGACATTGATTAGCGTGTTATGTTGCAGAAACGTCAGTGTTTATTGCATGAAAATGAATACTTATGCATAAATATGTGTATTTTTTGTTTGTGCTTAAAACTTTGTGTTGACACACAAACATTGTAAAAAACATGTGTCAGTTTATAGGCATTTTCCAGCAACATTCTGGCGACATTAGAGCTGCTCCCAAACTTTATTTTCTCCGATCTTAGAAGGTGATCACGGTAAAAATGATGATGGTGGTAGATATGAAAGATGAAGAAGATGAGAGGTGATGGATTTGATGAAGTAAATGAAAGTGGAAGACGATGGAGATGGTGAAGATGGAGTAAGGAAGATGAAAATGAAATTTGTTTAATGTTGGCTATGGTGGTGGTGGATGTGAAAGTGATATACACATTTTGTGTACAACTAGTATTATTGATAAAGATAATAATGTGTCACCGAATTGGATTGGTATTATGTGACCGGTTGATGTTGTTTAAGACATTGTAATAATATTTCATATCAAACTAATCTCAAATTAATTTCACATGAGATAGGACCGCAATTTTACTTTTCCTATATCATTATCTCACTATATTTATTCATATGTAATATTCTTAAAATTATGTTAATAAGGTTGGTTCTAGAGCTTTTTACATAGAATTACTCCTATTTTTTATCTTATTAGTTTTTATGCCAATTTCATATTTAATTTATGTCTTTCACTTTATCAATTTTTGGTTCGTGACTAATATTGTTTAATCATTTGTGATCCTGATCAATTTTTTGACTTCGCCAATTTATATGAGGAAAAAGTATATATGAAAAATGAAAATGTGATTGGACTCGTTTTCAATTAAGAATCCGTGCTCCATTTCTTGAAAAAGTAGGTTGTATTTAAATTTAATTATTGCATGAGAGGCCAGCATCTAACCACATTGACTAATAGGAACTTAAATCAGGTATTTAATGAGTATATATTAGAGTACTCAAATGTTACAATGTACACGGTACAAATGTGGAATAAGAGAGAAAGACACTCATTTTCTCTCTTATTTTTTCCACGGTTTTATGTGAATTTGGTAATAATGTCAATCACAATTTTCACATCTAGACATGCTCATTGACATTGTGAAAATAAATTTACCAAAAATATATAAGAGCATTCAAATAAGGAGAGATATATTTTACTTAGTAATATTTGTGTGTCTATATCTCCAATGCCACATGTGTAATATACACATTATGACATTGGAGATGCTCTTAAATTATAATAGAAGTTCAATAATCTTTGTGTTCATAAATTTTCTATACTTAACATTAGTGTCATTGTTTCTTAGTTCTACTACTTCCACTATATTAGGCAATTTTTAAATTATTGTAAGTTGATATTGTTATTGGTTTCGGAAATTAAATTTGTACCATACTTTACCAATTCAATGAACAAGAGACTAATCAACAAGTTAGTATAGTCCCCATCCTATTGACTTGCTCAATTTTATTTTCACGTGGAATAAAAATGAAAAATTGTGCAATTGAGATTTGTGTGATTGACAAATATATGAATAACTTTAGTCACATATTTATGACTCAAATGAAAATGATAAAGTAACTATGAACGGTTAAATAAGAAAAGTGATAAAATTTTATGAGACGGAACTATGGAAACAAAATTATTGTAAATTAGGACGTTGACCATTTAAGTATAGGAGTTCCATCCTCTCCATCTATCGTACACCAAATTAATTGTTAAGTAACATAAAGAGTGTTCTTCCTACATTGTAATATAATTTTGTGATGGGCTTCATCTTAGAGCATTTCCAAAATTTTACATTATCACCATTCAGTATACACTTTTTTTTACCCCGGAAGTTCAACCACCAAAATCAATGGGGTAAATGCCGGGGGACATTTACAAGATTTTATTAAAAAAGTGAGAGTATAGTGGAAGAGGGAGACTAGACCAAAATCTCTTCTTGGAAAAGTATAACAAAGACCGAAGTAAACAAAGACTGAAGTAAACAAAAGAGAATTACAAGCGAAAGGACGGGATTCTAAACTTATCCATGTAATATGCTCTCTTAACCGGGCCTGGAAGATCAAAAGTATAGTAAACACACTCAGCTGGGCTGAGTATAGTTGGGCCAAACTGTGGGCGGTCGAGTTTGCTTCACGCCAAGTGTGTTTGAAGCAAACCTGTTTCCTATTCTATTCCAGCATCATTTCCTGAACCATAACCTTCCATCTCCCCGTCTGACCTTCTTCCAAAAACCTCAACACCTCCGCAACATCGGTTTCCACCTGGAAGGTAGAGTAACCAGCATTCATAGCCCACATCGTAGCGAAGCAGAGAGCCTTCATCTCAGCGTCTACCACCGAACCAGCCTGCACGGGGAAAGAAAGAGCGAAGACTATATCACCATCAGGATTCCGCATAATCGCCCCTCCGAAAGCACCTTGAGGTAAGAATGAAGCATCTGTGTTCAATTTCAAATTACGGGGCCTGTTCCATTTGATGACTCTTAGATGTGATACACCAAGTCGAAACCTAGCCAGAATAAGATCCTCCTCGTATAGAACACTTTATTATGCTGATCTTTAATTTATTGTTGTAAAAGAGTGTTTGACCCTTGAGCCTCATTATTCCATCTTAACGGTCATTTGAATTAACCGCTGATTTTTATGTGCACTTATTTTGTCTTTTACCCGTGCGAATGTTCAATGTACACTCTATTCCTGCCATTGTCATGTGTACATTTATCAAAGCTTAACTATTATACTTTTTTGTTTTGTTTTAAAGAAAGTCATGTGTATACGAATTATAAGATTTGAATTGTCTTTTTATCTTTTGAAACATTTAAACCTAATTTGAATTGTGTGTGATAATAAAATATGCATAATGCGAGGTGGTATAAGAGCCATAGAAAACACCTCTATTGTTAACTTTGGATAATACTTCAGATAATTGAATTGTCTTTTTCGTCCCCTTCAGCATTTTGAACACAGAAAACACCTCTATTGTTAACTTTAGATAATACCTCATTTTTTCTATTGTTAACTTTGGTGCTACATAGAAATAGTGTCATTTTTTTGCCAAGCACGTAGAAATAGAGTCATAATAACTATAAAAACATACCAAAAACTACATTTATTTATTTTTGTTTTGCAAAACCAGTACAATTATATAGGACTTGCATGAATAATTAATCAATTAATTCTTATTTATACAGATTAACTTTAGTTCTAGATTAAATCAGACTTAAATAGATAAGTCTTAAAATACGGCTTGACTTGATTAATGAGACTTCAACAATTTTAAATTTCACATAAAATAATCTGTAGAGAACCAGAATATATTTATATTTAAAAAACAATATAATTAAAAATATGGTAATTGCATTAATTTTCTACCCAAGGGTATTAACTCTAATAATAAAAATTAATTCATCATAAAATCGTAAAAAAATAATAAAATATTGATAAAAATTAATTTTATTTTTTCAAAAAGAATAAATAATTAATAAAAAATAGTAAAAACACACAAAAATATTTTTTTAAAAATATGGATGTATTTTTCACCGCCTCTACCATCTCCCAACAACAGCACTTCCGATCAGTGGAAAAATGTCATTTTATTTAAACAATTCATTTTTTCTAAAAATGCCAAAAAATAGCATTATTACTTTTTCTTAATGTCAAAATTTTCATTGGAACTGTCATTGGTATGACATTAGTAATGCATGTTTGTTTTTTCGGAGATCGAGGTTGATGGTGTTGGGGTGCAAAGGCAGTAACAAGTAGGGGTGGGTTCGGTTCTTGCGGTTCGGTTTTGACCTAAAACCAAATATAGAATCAAAGTAAAAAGTTCGGTTCGGTTTCGGTTCGGTTCTACACTCCAAAACTTGGAACCACGGTTTGATTGGTTTAGTTTGTTTCGATTCGGTTTCGGTTTTTTCGGTTTTTTACCAAAAAATTATCATTTGATTTAAAAATGATATAATACTTTGAGGGATCAAACATATATTACATAAAGAATGCAAGCACACTACAACAAATAAAATAAAAATGAAAATAAATAAAATGAATTATATGAGTATGCGAGAGAGATAAAAGTATATATTATTAATATACATTGTTTGTGTCTAGTTCAAAAAAAGTTAACGAGTATATACGTTATATGTGATATAGTTGAGATAAATATTTATTGTTTCATCAATACGAATTCTTTAAGTTAAATACAAATAAAAGTTAATTAATACTAATAACAAGTAAAAACATATTATCAGTATAGCTACATTATTACGTGCAATAATGTGTAAATGAATTCACAAACTAAACTAAACTAAACATAACGAACATTATTTCTCTAGCACAAGAAAACCAAAAACTATCAATGATATTAGGATTAGTTAGGATTAATGCTTAACAATGGACAAATAAATTTTACTCCGTATATTTTAACTAGTTCGGTTTGTTCGGTTCGATTCGATTTTGAAGGGTAAAAACCAAAACTGAACCAAACAACTACGGTTCGGTTCAGTTTTTTATATTCGGTTTCGGTTTGTTAGCGGTTCGGTTTTATTTGGCTACGGTTCGGTATGATTTGATTCGGTTTTCGTTTTTCGATTTTTCGGATCCAGCCCTAGTAACAAGAGCCTATTTATTTTCTGACGTTTTTTTTTAATTTTTCTAATAATTATTTTATTAAATATTTTTTTTGTCCTAGAATAAATTTAAAGCAATATTTAGGCATATTTAAAGCAATATTATGTTATTTCTATATTATTTGGCGTTGCTCGGCGCCTGGGCATGGTAGCTTCTTCAGTCTACAGCCTTCCTTAACGCTATTTACGCCGCCGATACAATGGCGGAGCTGGACCCTTCCGCTGCTACCTCATCTAACATTTTCTCCAACAAAAACTCCCGTCCTTCCGAAGACACGGTTTTCTTCTCCATTTTTTCGGACTTCTCTGTACACTCTTGTACATCCACTACGACCACCTCCGAGCTTCAAGCTCTTCACCTCCAGATCATCCAAATCATATCTCCTTACACCTCTAACTACATATGGCAACACGAACCCTTTAATCTTAGCCTCTCCACTACTTCCCCGCCCCATCTCGGCGGCAAACTACGCTTCGGCGATAACCTAGAAGATGAATGGTTTGTGGTATTCCTCCTTTTTGAGATTTCCAGGAACTTCCCGAACTTATCAATTCGCGTTTGGGACAGCGACGGAGAGTTCCTTCTCATCGAAACTGCATTCCACCTCCCGCGGTGGCTCAATCCCGACAACGCCACGAATCGCGTTTTTATCCGCACCGGACGTCTCCACATTATTCCGAAGTCCATCTTCCACGACACTCCAACCCTTCTTGACGCGCTAAGGGTTTTGAAAGACGGCAGAGAGGGAAAGACCGAAGCCCCCGAGCCTGCTCAGGTTCAATTGGAGAATAGGTTAAACCAATACCCTTTGAGGGCGGAGAAGAATGTGCACAGCGTGAGGGTTAGAGTCCCTATTTCTGTGGCACAAGTGTTGAAACACGAGTCATGCTTAGTTTCACTTTCCGTGGAGGGATTTTATGATAGAGATATTGATACTATGAAGTATGCGGCAAAGATGGAGAGGTTTCTGAGTAATGGAAGTGGAGAAGAGCTTGTGGAAGTGGTTACGAGGATGTCTAGGGCAATGTATGCCCAATTGGTGCAGCAAACATTTCAAGCCCCAAAATGCTACCCGCCATTGCCACCTAGAACTGACATGGGATCATATATGGAGGCTGAGTTGGGGGTGAAGATTGCATGTGGGTTTGAGATGATGTACCAGCTAAGGAAGACACAGGGAATGGAGGGGAAAGGGAGGACATGGGAGGCTTTCAAGAAGAGTCTGGAAAATAGTGGGTATTTTGAAGGGTTGCTTCCAGGGTCACAGGAGTACAAGAGATTGATGCAGAATGCAGAGGAATACTACAGAAATAGCTCATTGCAAGCCAAAACAAGGTTCATGCAATTTTTTTATTTAAGTGTGCGCTATTTGGCTGCTAAACTATTTGACCAATGATGGATAGATAATACTCTACTTGATAGACATGTTTGACTGATTCTAATGTGTTTACTGCACATCATGATCATTAGAGTACTATAAAGGGATCATATTTAAATGAATTGCTGAAATAATCAAAGCTGGAAACGGAAGCTCTGTCTCGGTAAATTTTGTTTTTTTATGCTAAGAAAGGTGTGAGAGTACAAGATATTATGACCATATTAATAATTAGCGTGAATTAGTATTTTACTTATTGGATCAAACCTTGATTTTAATGAGTCACTGGTTATATGGATGATGATTTTGAGCTGTTCCTTAAAATCCTTATATTTCCTAGCACATTTATCGTAAGACATAAATTTTAACTGCTACTCTTATATGATTTACGGTCACATTGTTTTATTTTTCTTGTCTTCCTTTTCCTATGAATGTTTTAATCACTTCACACGTGCACCTTGACTATTCATTAAAAATCATTTAATTCCTTGTTGTCCACTGCACTATTCTGATTCCTCAAATTTTCTCACTTTCTTATCACTAAGGTCTAAGGCTATCTGGCTATGTTTTGAACGCTGAAACTGTAGGGGAAAGAAAACAAATCTATGATTATTAGTTTTAAGAATAAATTCCACTTTAGGTCTTTGACTTTGATCACTTTTGGTACCTCACTATTGCTTTTCAGCCATATATAGGCATTAAGACATATAATCCTTCCGTCAATATTTTTGTTTGTTAAATTCTCTGGAGAGGTGACAAAAAATTGGACAGAAGGACCATAAATGGTCAAGAAACATTAGTCAAGTATCAAAAGTGTACAAAGTGAAAGACAAGAACTAAATGTGAAAATGACATCAAACTCGTAGGACCAAAAGTGGAATTAATTCTTAGTTTTTTACATTTGGGTTTTAGCTTGGAGTCTATGAATCGATGGAAACTTTTTATATTATGTATGTATTTAATTCTTGTAGCTTGATAAAATATATATAAATAAAACGGTTGGAGGAAATGCTTAAATTGATTTCTTGAGTTTGACCATTTTTTTAATCCATTAATCTCCCAATCTTACTTCCAAATATCCCATCTATTTTTCTCCAAGTTTCTTTTTCTAGCATTTTCTGGTTTCCAAGCAAACCCTTATATTTTTTGTTGTTACTATCGTCACTTGCTATTTCCATCATTTGCAATAGAGCCAAAGATTCACTATTTTTTGGCTTGAGAATATGATGGAATAAAGCAAATTGGCTCACTAAGCTATCTGTGCTTCTTTGTTATGAAGCAGCAGTTAGTTCATGCAATTTTGGACGCGATTTTCACTATGGGTCTTCCGGAAACAATCTTGTGCTTTAGTACAGGGGTAAGACTGCGTACATCTGACCCTCCTTACCCCACCGTAGGTGGGAGCCTTTGTGGCACTGGGGTAATGATGATGATGACTATCGACACTTGCTCTTTGATGCCTTTCTTTCCCACGTCTTTTCTTTTGTTCATGTCAGAAGTTTTGATCTACTTCTAAAAAATGCAGTGAAATGTTGAGTTCACCCGTAAGACGTATAGATGAGATTCTTGCTCTTCCTCATTCTGTCGATGATTTTAAGAACCAGGAACTACCACCATCAGATGACGACTCGTGGCTTTATGGTGGGGAAGATGAGCTAAATGCAGTTCTTCAAGAGAGGCAGAAGGAGATGGAAGATTACAATTCAACGCATAAAAAGAAACAGAACTCAAAGGAAAAGCCAGAAGATTTAGACAACGTAGACGACTACGATCTAAAAAATATTTCAGAGTCTATGCAAGCATTTGTCAAGAAAAGGTCAAGCTACAAAGGAGCAGAGGTTCCAGAAAGCTGGTTTGTGCTCTCTGTCTTTCTATTCCAGATCATTATGAAGTGGTACCTTTGATTGAATTCATTGGTGTCTACGTGTTTGTTTTATATCATTTAGTAGATCAAATGACTGATACAGTAGGGTTCACATTAGATGACCACATTAGGGATGAGAAAGGTTACATGATCATTTAACTGTCTAAGGGTGGAAAGAGATGGCCAGACTAGAGATTAGAACGTGAAGATGCCCACATAAGAGTTCAGGAATGGTTCATATTTGACTGAACCACTGAAATATTAAACGGTGCAAATGGAAGCAATGTTTCCACAATTATTGTTTTTTATGCTAAGAAGGATGTTAGTAAGCAAGGATTATGACTACTAATTATGAACGTGTAGTAGTGTTTTTTGAATCCAACCATATTTTTTGTGTGGCCGCAGTAATTGGCGAATTGGCCAGTGTTGTTTATTCTTTTCTTTCTTCATTTGAAGCCTAAGAGATGTGGACTTTGATGTGGATCGCTTTATGGAAGAAATTGATTCCTTGGCCAGACGAAAGGACACCTTTGAAAGCACTGGCAGTGAGTTTGATGTTGAAGAAGGATCAAATTCTGACATGGAATTTGGTATATTCCAGTATTATCAATCAATAGCTATATATGTGTCTGTTTGTGCACGTGTGTCTATATATGCATGGATTTGTGGGGTAGAACTTCACTAACAAAAAATATGGAGGTTTCATCTTGTTAAAATTGTGTGAATATTTTTTTAATCGTCTTCATAATACATTAGAATTGAGCATGCTGCTATCTGGTGACAATTTAAAAAATTTCTTCAAAGCTAAGGACTTGATGCACATGTAATTTGATTTAAGTATATAACTGTATACACTGTGCATCCTTGAAAGTTGAAATTGTGTTCCAAAAACTGTGTTTACTACTAATCTTGATTAGATGTTCTTAACTTGCAGATGAATCTGATGATGAAAGTGATGCTGAAGACAATGATAACATGGGAGGGGATCCTTTTATGCAGTCCTATGCCCATGCTCTGAATGAGGAACTGAAAGGCACTTCACTTGGAAAAAGTTTTGCTAGAACCGATGAAAACCCTCTCAAGAAGGATGAGGTTAGTCTTCATTAAAAGACCTCTGTCAAGTAGCACATCCAGACTTATGAATTTTACTGTCAAAAGTAGTTTCATAAATTATTTTTTTCAATACCTGAAACAAGCTTCTGAACTTCTGGAAATTGTGAATAGGTTCTCAAAACATTTAGGAAATTGCAGAAATGTCACGGAAAAACCTAGGGAAAGAAAAAACTTGCTGATGAAAGTTATTTTCTCATGTCTGGTTTTTTCTTAAAAATGTAAAGGAAAACAGCAGCTTGTTTGAATTATTTACATATGCTCATTATATTCATATTGCTTGGTCTTTATACAATAGATATAAAAAAATGAATAACATCACATGTCTAAAATAAATTCTAAAATTCATATAATTTGAGCCTATCTTTCATCCACATTTTCTGTCCTATTTTCTCTCTCTGTTGTCCTTCCTATTTTTATCCCTAGTATTTTCCCATTTCCAAACGGATCATTTGGCAAGGTTTTTGGGAGTTCTAGTTTCAAAAAGGGAAATCACAGTTGCCAGAAGTTTCTATTAGGTGAAGTCACTAGGGTAGGCTTTCAATTAATGTCTTGCTAACCATATGAGCATATGTTGGTTCAACATAGGGAACACCTGCTGTTGCAGGAGGGGAGTTGGAGGAAGAGTTCACACCTGTGGATGTGGATTTCAACCTTGTAAAGAACCTTCTTGATTCATTTTCATCCCAGCAAGGACTTCCTGGTCCAGCTTCCAACTTAATCGGGCTTTTGGGTCTACAACTTCCCCAAGATGCTCATAGTAACAAACAGAAATAGTCTGTACAGTGAATTTCAATTTGCTACTGTATGCATTTCAGTATCGTTGTATGGTAGTCTGAATCTGCAGACAATACGTGCTCTGGATCTTTGTTAAATTAAACAAAACATACACAGGATCCCGTAGGGAAAAAGCACTAGTTGAAAATGACAGATGGATTATGGGGGTGTTTGGATCTGATTCTTAAAACTGATTCTGCTCCTTCAGGGAGTAGAAGCAGAAGTTTCAGTGTTTGGGTGAAAGTGCAGAAGTGATTCTGGTGCTCTAATTTACTCCTAGAATCAGTTTTTTTAGAAGTTGGGGGTGACCATCTTCTGAAAACTGATTCTGATTCTGCTTCTTCTTTAAAAAAGAAGCAGTAGCAGAATCAGTTCCAAACACCCCCTATGGGTTTGTATAAAACAATGACTACCCCATTTGGGCCATTTGGTTTGATGTTTCAAAAAGTGTCATATCATAAACGAAAACCATTAAATTTGAACAATTTTAACAAAAAAAAAAAGTAAAACCAAAAATCTAGTTAGTCAATTTTTGGAAAATAGTTATTTTTCATTAGAGCAAAAATTAGTCAACAACTAGTTATCTTAAAACTAAGGCATTGTTTAAATTCGGGAGAGACAGAGTTTAGTTGGCCTCTGGAAGGCTAGAATGTGTGACATTGCTTGGTATGGCGTTTCAATGGAAACATGCATTTAGGGATGGACTCGGGCCAGGCCAACCGGCCTGTAACCTGCTTGAGCTGGTACTGTTTCGGCTTGGCCCGGTACCTGGGTCTATGATTCCCAAAAAATGCCTACCTGGACCGGTTCCGAGCCTCAAGATTCCCAAAAAATGCCCGGTCAGGCTTGGCCCGAGGCTTGGCCTGGACAAGCCCGGGTCCATGCGTACATGCATTTAATAATTTAACAAAAAAATCCGCTTCTCATATTTGCCATTTCATCTTATCAAAAAAATTATTTGCCATTTCCAATATACATTTGATACATTTTCCTCACAACAGCTACATTTGCCATCCGCTGTAGATCTTTGATGACCGGCCGTTTGTTGCAGTGGCTCTTTGTGGACGGTTGTTCGCTTGTCCGCATGCTCGTCTTTATCATCAATGCTCCGTCAATCTTTGTTGTTCTTCGACGTCGTCCCCTGTCCATGCCAAATGTTCTCCGTAGCATCCACCTGTTCTTCCCAGCTGGTCTGGTCTCCAACGTTTCATTCGTCTATCTCCCAATCAAACAATTTCAGATTGACCAAATTAAACCTTCAAAATCTGAAATCGAAAGCATGAACTGCGAATTTGAGGTGTAGATTCACAACGAAAGCAAGGAAGGAAATTTCCATAGGAGGTGGAGGGAGAAAAAGAGAGAGACGAAGGAAGCATGTGGAGTAAAGAAAGTCCAACGACCATGAAGCACTGTGAGAGACGACGAGGAAGCACGGTTGTTCACCTATTTTTAATTTTCTTTTTACTTTTTTTTATCTGTTTAACAGGTTACAGCCTTACAGGTAATTTGGATCAATATAGGAAGACCTCTGGCAAATTTGAGATTATTTCAGAATTACGTATATTTAGGATTAATATTAGAAAACACCTAATAGTTGGGATTATTTATGTGAATTTTTCCTTAATCTTAAGTTGATTTAATTGTGGCAGCAAAATATTTGCATACTTAATTTTAGTGATATTTGCACACTTGATTAGTTGATTTTAGTATGTATTCATGGGACCGTACAACCATTATTGGACTAGATTTGGAGTAGGTGGGACTGGGACCCCAATATAAAAAATGATTTGCAGGTGATAATAAGAAAAAGTAATGAGCATGATGCATTAAATTGTAGATTTAAAGCTGGTTTGATTTTTTTGAGAGATTTATCTAAATAGGACTAAAACAAGGTGGAATTGCAAAAATAGGACTCCTATGTTTTATTCGACAAAAATAAGACTAAAAAGAGGTAATCTAACAAAATTACTCTTAATTAAAAAAGAAACACACACCACCAACTATGGATGGACTCGGGCCGGGTGGCCCGACCCGGAACCGGCCCGGGACCGACACTGTTCCAGCCCGGCCCGACCCGGTGGGGCGGTCAGTGACTGGTCCGGGTAGGCCCGACCCGTGGGTTTTCCGGTCCGGGCTCGGGTCACCCAAAACAAGGCTCGACCCGGCCGGGCCCGGGTCCGGTTCGGGCCAAAACTAATTTTTTTTCAATTATTTTTAAATTTTCGGGTTGGGCTGGGTATTTTGAGCCATTTGGGGTGGTTTGGGGGTTGGGGGTGGGAGGGGGTTAATTAGGAAGAGGGAAAAAAAATTTGATAATGGGCCCGGACCGGACCGGGTCCACCACTCCTGAACCTCCAGCCCGCCCGGGCCTAGGCCTGACCCGGACCCGGCCCGGACCCGAGTCCACCCCTACCACCAACGCACAACCTGCTATCCTCCTCCCCCCCCCCCCCCCCCCCCCCCCATGGACCACAAAATTGAATCTCCATAGCACCACTCATCCATCGTCGATTGTGGCCTCACACCGCAACGCTTTCTGTCGTAGCCCTGCACTCATCGTCGACCAGGTAGGTATCCTCCTCCTCCTCCTCCTCCTTTTTTAAATTTTTTATCAATCATATATTTAAATAAAATTTTGATTTTTTAAAGTTTCATATGAAGAAATATCTGAACTTGAATATCTTGTTATCAATTTTGATTACTTTTAATCTCAAAAATTCTATGATTAATGATTCCATAAAATGTCACTTTTTGAATAAGAGAATGTCTAAATATTGGGTATTTTTACAAAATGTCACTTTTATGTCATTACAATATTTGGAAATGTAAACTAAGTGACATTCCTCATGAAGGGCAGATCCTTTGTCACTTTTATGGCATTACAATATTTGGAAGTAGAAAATGTCATTTTTATGACATTACATTTGCTTAGGTGACAATTTCAAAGAAGAAAATGACATTTTCAGAGTAATAAAAGTGACATTTTTGAAACAAAATTGACATTTTCAGATTGTCATTTTTGTAAATGTAATGTCAAAAATGTGGCATTTTTTTCTTCAAATAATAAATAATTTTGACATTCTCATAATATACAAGTGTCATTTTATTCGTTAACCGCTATTTGCCAAACAAGCCCATAATCAGGAGTAGAGCAGAGAGGGCAGAAGGTGACCTCGATCCCCATTATGTTTTATAGTAATACATACTCGTATTTATTATAAATATACGTAAGCTGAAAAAAATATGTTAACATATTGAGTTGTGATCCCTGCAAAATAATCCTCTTAAGTTTCGGCCACTATAGTCATAGATTATTGAAACTACATTTTCCAATGTCAATTGGATCAAGGTGATCAAACCAAGCAAAGATACACCAAATACTGAAGGAATAAAACGACAAATCATATTTCGCCGTGACTGTGCACTTTCTGTCTAGTTGTAGTCTTGTGGACTTGTAGTGTGAATAATACGCACACGGTATACCAATTGTAGACCTGGATTAACTTTCGATTTTCGTTTTTGTTCTAACATAATTTTTCATTTTCTTTCTTGACACAAAATTGTGGTTCACATTATTTCTTTCATATTTCTTTTTTTTCTCCATAAATCTCCACCACACAATATTCATTATCTTGATCATACTGCCAAATATACTCATAGAGTATATAGACTCGAACCTCCCGGTTTCACATATTTATTTGTATTTACTAGACAAGCTTTTTACGTAGTTGGGCCACTCAGGCTCGTATTAGTGGTCTGACCCACTCTTTCTCTGTATATACTCCTCTTGGAGCCTCTTGTAACCCCAATTTTAACACATTCACAAGACACTATACTATTCATCATCTTCTTCTTCTCTAACTCAAATCTCCTAAATAATACGTACTCCCTCCATTCCGGATAAAACTTGACGTTTGCTTTTTGCACGGTCTTTTAGGAGCTCAATTAATAGGACAAGTGTCTTGCATGCCCTTTGACTTTTGGAGGAAATTAATGTTATACACTGAAATGTAAAAAGTGGGTAGTTAGTGAAGGGTTGTTAGGTTATTTAATGTAAAAAAAGTTGCCTAAAAAGGAAACGTAAAGTAGTAAATGTGACGTCTCAAAAAGAAAAGTGTAAAGATTTAAATTAGACGGAGGGAGTAATATATAGTTTGAATACTCCTATTATCCATGAATCCATGGACCATGATGTACTTTAGAAGAAAATTTCGTATTTAATTGTTGGTGTTAGAAAGATTACATATTTAGACTTTTATCGAGGAACTAAAATGCATACTCTATAATGGACTAACCAATTTAGCAAATCGTACAATTCACATATTTAGATCAAATAAAAAGAAGTTTTTTTATATAAAAAAGTTTTTTAAAAAATATTAATGAAATAAAATTATTTATAAAAAATATGATTATAATTACTCCGAACATATAGTCATGATCACTTTAGTGTAAAAAATTGAACACAAATTATTATGACTTTATTTACCTTTACAAAAAGTTATTAAGACTATATTTATTACTATGACCACCACATTCAATTAATAGGTTTTTATCATCACTCTTATTTTAGTCATAAATTTATAATTATTTTCAAATATAATAAAACCTTTAAGACCTTTAAATTGGGGGTGAACTTGTGTGGATTCCCGATCCGGACTAGAACCCGTGTCCCAGAGGACGGCCACACCTTCCCTACTTGAGATTGAATAAGGATCCGTTTCAATTTTTTACCTTATTTTAAAAATCGAAGAATTGGAATGCGAACGTTGATTCAGGAAATAATGGCCTAAATATTACTTGTATGGTTTTAGTGGACTAGAATATGACTAATTCTTGGAATGACATAAAAGTGATTAAAACATAAGAAGACTTCCTCACTGCAGCTCAAACCGTTTCCTCCCCGCTAAAGATTCTCTCTTCACCAAGCTCACTCTCCTCACCGGCCTATTCTCTCCGCCTCCACAGCTCTCCAATCGTCGCCGTCACAGCTCTCCAGTCGCCGCCACCGTTCTCTTCTTCTTCTCATTTTTTCTTCACTACTGCAACAACTACCCGTCGTCCTTGTTGCCCGATGCCCGCTCCTTCGCTTGCTGATGTCAGGTGGTCACGCCTTCGCTGGCCCATGGTCGATGGCCATGCCTTGGTTAGCTTCTCCGTCGTCCTAGATGGCCGTTGGTGCTGGATCCGCCGCCTCTAAAACCGTCGGTGCCAGATCTGCCGTCTTTGATGGACGACGGTTGTGATTTAGGAATTTTGGTGCCGGATCTGCCATCTTTAGTGGACGATGGCTGCGATTTGGGACCACCGATTCCGGATCTGCCATCTCGGTGTCACTGGTGGTGGTGCAACGAGGGTTCCATGGTGGTTAGGGTGGAGGTATGGCTAAGCTTTTGGCAAACTAATCCTGGGGGAGGACAAGGGGCAGGGTAGGAGAGTAGGGTAGGGGAGGGGGACTCAGACTTGGGGCTGGCGAGCTGATGCGCAATGCTAGGGGCAGGTCAAGGACAACAACGGCAATCGGTGGTTTTAACGGGTGAGGGCTGGGATTGGTGAACGGTGGCTTGGGCTAGGTAGTGGGACAGACACAGTGTTGTGGTTGGTGCAGGGACGCCGGAAAAAGGAGCAGGAAAATCTCCGACGCTCACATTGACAAGGTGGTGGTGGCCAGAGAAACTTCCGGTGAATGGCTTCCCCATAAAATCTTATGTCAATGGGCAGTGGAGGCGTCACTGTGGTCGGCGGTGGTGTCACAGTGACCGGCAGCGGTGTCACAGTGACCACAACAACGTCGTTATGATGGGCGGCGGCAACCGGCAACTGCAGCGGCAGCAGTGGCGGTAGTGACACGGGTGATGACGGTGGGGATGTCACTGCGGAGGTATCACTATGGGCGGCTACAAGGAGACGGGCGGTGGCTACAGTGACACCGGCGGTGGCTACAGTGACACGGTGGCTACAGTGACACTGACAGTGGCTACAATGACACCAGCGGTGGCTACAGTGACACCGGTGGCGGCTATAGTGACACAGTGACATTAAAACTGGACAGTGACATTAAAATATGACAATGACATAAATATGACCTTCTTAGTCACATTTTTGTCCTAATATTAATGTGATTACATTTTTGGAAATTGTCTTTATTTAAGTAATATTTAGGTAAAAACCCCTTGAATCAGTCTCGAAACTACAATCGGGAGTCAGGACCACCTTGCTATAAAAGATACAAAGTACTCTATAAATAAAATTTAATTTGCTAAGTGAATAAAAAGACGAGAACTATTAAATCAAGGGATTTTGACACAAATATCACTAAATTAAAAATCATGGACCCAAAATAGGAGTAAGTTTAAAAACTTTCAAAAAATTTGATTTTGAAAACATTTTATCACATTTTAACCATTCTCTCGAGTGCAACCCAACGGCCATTAGTAAGTCACTCCCTCAATCCAGCAGTGACATTGACCTACCCAGTAGTGAAAGTTACTCACCGCCGCCGCTAGTGGCCCATCGCTTCCGTAAGTGACTCGCCGCCGCCAATGACAGTAACCCGCAGCCAGTTATAGTGACTTTTGCACAGTGACATTGACCTCGTGCCCTAGCACAACCACCATCTCGACCACAGTCACCGCCAATTACAATGACATCACTGCTCTGCCCTGACGGTAACCGTGCCGCCCCGACAGCCCCTCCCCAGACCCCATTCCCCTACGGAACTGCCCCCGCCCCCGACCCTCGCTCCTGCAAGCTGGGGCAGATCTATTGAGGAAGGAGACACAACTTTGACCATTAATATAAATGATTTTGTATTATACTTCCTCCGTTCTTAAATAAATGCAACCGTCAACATTTCACACTTGCCGAGACACAACTTTGACCATTAATATAAATGATTTTGTATTAGTAAAAAAATAACAAAAAAAATAGATTATAAAAATTTACAATGAGACAAGTTTAACAATAAATTTTTCATAAAATTATATTATTACATTAATAAATAAAACGTAGTCAAAATAGAACATGTGAATAGTGTAAAAGTAAAAGTGTTGCATTTATTTAAGAATGGAGGTAGTACTATCTATTAGATTTTTTTGAAGTTCAAGTATGAAACAATGGCAAGAGTATTACTCACACACTTAATGTGGACAAAAATATGACCAAATTTCAATTGGACAAAAAAGTGAGTCAAAAATTAAAATTACGTCTCCTTCTCTCTTCAATTGTCGAAGATGCACTCAGCGGCTCACACCATCGGCGCAACACCTAATCTCCATCGAAGATGGCATCAACTCTTCAATCACTAGTCCCCCTGCTCCAACCAAGACATAAGCTCGATCCATCTCTGCGATTCTGCTATTCCTGTCACCACCATTTTCGCCCCATTACACCGCCTCCGCCGCCGACGTCCCAAGTAAGCTTCGTTTCTGCTATTCTTCTATTCTGGCTGAACCAACTATAATCGATGGCGACGGGGCTGTGGTGGTCAGTGATGGCGTCTCCAATAGCTAGGGTTTGAAATCGAGCGTAGCCGGGCAATTCGGCTACGGTTTTACAGAGCGACGTGGTGCTAGGCTTTTTTGGGCATGGGCGGTGGTGTGTTGGGGCTGGGGGCGATACAGGGGCTATGGTCGTGCGAGGGCCGTGGGTTGGGGAAGGGACTGCCTGGGCGACGACGATTGTCGCCAGGAAGGGCGGGGGTGTGCGGTGGTTAGGTAGGATGAGATGGTTGCAGTCTTCCGGCGATTAGGGGTGGGGTGTGGTGGCAGGGGGTGACAGTGACCGGGGCTGTGGTGGTCGGCGGTAGCAAGGGGTTGGGTATGCTGAAGAGGGGACTGGGGTTTGGATTGGAGACGGGCTAGGGAGGCTTGCCGCTGCCAGCTGGAGTGGTCAGAGGTTGGGGCGGCGACGGGAGTCACTGGTCGGGGCGGTGGCCACAGTGACATGGGCGGTGGCCACAGTGACACGAGCGGTGGCCACAGTGACAGTGGCGGTGGCCACAGTGACACAGCCGGTGGCCACAGTGACACGGGCGGTGGCTACAGTGACACCGGTGGTGACGACAGTGATATTCGATAGTGACATTAAATTTGATCAGTGACATTAAAATGTGGTAATGACATGAATATGACTACTTTAGTCACATTTTAGTCAAAATGTAAAAGTGATCATATTTTAGGAAATCACACTTAATTTAATAATATTGAAGGAATAACCACTTCAAGTATTGCCCCCAATAAAAATTAATCGATGCCCCCTATAAAGCAGCCCGCGTCCTAGCTCAATTATAGAGTAAAATGTGAATTTTAGATGTCAGAAATTCAGAATAGATAAGGCTAGATGTAGGAATTGTATCATTAATGCGTGAGTCGCTAATTACGGTCTCCGTCCCACAAAGATTGGAACCTGACAAGATTATTAAGAAAAGTGTGTTTATGTGGTTGATATTAAATTGATAAAGAAGAATAAAGTAAAAATAATTTAGAGTCATACGAATTTTATCAAATTTGGTACGGAGTATGAAACAATCTTAGTGAAATTTCCTGAAAAAGTAAAATGAGATAAAATGAACAGGACAAATGGAGTAATTTATTAGTGGGACTATAGATTTATAGTGACATTCAATACATTATAAAAAAAATCAAAAGTTTCGGCCATGGCCATTGCTATATTTGTCCATACGAAACTCATGAGTAGTATATCTATCATTTTTTCTTAAATTAATGTGCGTAGTCGAGGAAAGGCGAGGAGCAAATAACAATGCTAATACTACGATATTTTTATTTGGATTGAAATTTGTTGATCTGGTCTGTTTAAGTATGCTCTGAACTACTCTAGTATGTTTAAGTCTAGTCTGAGACGGAAAAACAATCCAAATAATAACATCCTCAGAGCGCATTTGATATTCATAACCACTGTTTTCATGTTACCGGTCAATGTTTTTATCCTCATGAAATTTGATTTCAAGGTCTCTATTTTAACTAATTTTCATATCATATTTCCATTAGTTTCTTAATAAAATATATTTCAATTTTTTTCATAATTCAATAAATTCAGTCATTTGCGCTGTTTCACAATTTCAGCCATAACTTCGCAAGTTTCTACACATTTAGTTGGTTCAGTCAATCTTTATGTTACTAAAGGGATCCATAATTCTTGTATTTAATTAAGTAGAGTACCTTTTTCGTTCCATAAAGATTATTAAAAAACAGCAGGACTGTTAAGCCAGTAGTAGTGGAATTTGGATCCTCTCCGATGACTGGAGAGTTCCAGTGGGAGAGAGATAGAGAGGAGGGGATTTTAGGTGGGATATGTAGATGAGTAAGATAGAGAAAAAGGTAAAGAGAGATAAGAAGAAAAAAAAGAAATGGATGGGAAATGGAGAAGAAAAAATGGAGAGGAGCTGCACCCGTAATAGTGATCTCCGGCAGTGATCAATTGGTTTGACACCAAGCATAAAATGATAAAAGAAGAATCTTTGAAAGCACAAATTCGAAAGTCGAAACCCCAATTATTTAAAACTTAACTCAGTCATTAACTTCAAAACTCGAAAGTTTGAGGCCAAAAGTCGTGCTTTAAACTATTTCAAGTCTTATCATGGGGTCTCTTAATATGATTTATTACTTCGTAAATACTGTATGTCGTACCACATTAATTTAACGTTTTCGCAGTCATCTCGTGATAAAACCTCGTATCCTCGTATCCACATGATAATAGAGTTTCACTAATCACAATCAGTGACTGGACAGGAGAAACTTAGTACCGTAAATTTTACATTGGCAGAAGTCAAGAGGATAGATTTTATTTTCTCACATATTCACACTGGCAGTATTTACACACCAAAAGTAAGAAAGACGTTCAATTTCCTCCACCAATTGATTAATGGCTAGCCTGAAATCGAAACAGAGCTCAATGTTCATCTCCCTATCTAACATCTCTTTCTTGAAAAGAAGAATCGCTTTAATCAAATAAAGAGAACCAATCATTCATCAATGCTCTCAAAATTTCTCAAGTGAAGAAATCCACTCCTCCAGGCATTTCTTTCCCTCTGTATTTGCAACCAAAACAAGAGCATTGCCTAAGCTTCACATATCAATTAGAAAGCATATACCTCTTATTTCTTTATTGCAATATATCAAGCATATCAAACTTGTGTTATTAAGATCCTTTTGGGTAGGAAAATTCCGGGCGTACAAGTTTTTCACACACTTTTGTGTACATAGACAAGTGTACAAAAAAATATACACCAAACAGCTCTCAGGTTTGGTAAAATCGATGATCTTCACCTATAACCGGTGGGCGTAGCTCAACTGGTAGCAAGAGAGTGCCACAAGGGTTACGTCCCGGGTTCGAATCTCGGCAACTGCGATGAGGAGTTACTATGCTAAAAATACCGGGAACAGAGCCCCACTCTCTATCTGTCAGATTGGAATTATAGTCCAATTTACATCCTCCCAACGTACCGTCCGGTCGGAGTTGGGGGCCCTCAAGGATGGGCTGTCATTTTTTTTTATGATCTTCACACATTAATGCTACCAAATGTGACCTTATTATCTATCTCAGCATCTTACCTTGTGCCCAATGATATTTTTGGCTTCACTACAAGCCAGGGATAAAATAGTACAGAGTATCATAAATGTTCTTTCTTCTTTCATTAATGACTTTTTTGCTTCAAGGTGAACTTAAGTTCTACATTTCATTCTGAGTTTACTGGTTTGCTTATTGTTTTCTAAAAGAGTCTAGGTTTCTAGATATCCTAATTTTATCCCGAAAACTCGAATTAGCTAGCTTTGGATAAGCTCTTAATCAGATGTTTATGAAAATTATTTTCTTTTTATAAATACATTTAACGTATTCATACTCATATAATTTAACCTCCTTTCCAACAAGTTTTACCACGTTCAACCAGTTAACCGTATAATTATACAAATTACATTTTCTACATACGTATCCAGATTCAGCTAGGTATAACCCGTTTTTCGTAAACTTAGATTCATTTAAACTCATTTAAACCAGCTATTAGATTGTTTTCACAGTCACAACAAATCATATCAGACTAAACTAATTGAAACCATACTATATTTGAATGCTTCAGTCTAAGTGCATCAAATCTCTCTATGTTATCATTAATCATGAAACTAATGCTCTGGAACAAATTATTCCGAGTGTACATGCATAATTAATTATATAGAAATATGTTTATCCATTTCCTAAATTAATGAGGGCCAATAGAGATACTTATCAGTTATCACAGGGAACTCCTATACTAAACCCAATTAGGTAGAGAAAAATAGGATCTTGAGTTCTAACAAATTGGGTTAAGTATTTAGTACAATTTTGTCTCAATGCTTTTATCCAATCAAGTAAAGCAAAATAAGTAAAAAACAATGATTAAAGATAAAGGGAGTAATTGATTACCAGGAGAATAGTCATTGGCAAGGTTCTTAATGGCACTCAAAAACTGATTGCTTGGATCTTGAACTAATAATCCCATGCGGTCATCCCTATAGCAAGGAACCAACACAGCAAATCCACTGTCTTCTTCTTCCTCCTCCTCCTGACTCTGGAAATCAGGCGCGTGCGGCTCCAGCCACCCGACTGACCAGTCAGATTCATCGGATTCATATCCTGATAAGGAAACATCATCGGACGGCACCAGCACCACATCGTACTCCTTATCAATCCTCCTTTCTTCCCTGCTGTTCCAGTTTTTCCTCTGAACATCCGGACCCCTCACCGGCCAGAACTTCACATTCTCCGGTTTCCCTGCCCCAAAATCCGGCAAAGAATTTACAGAAGACCCTTTAGCTACTGAGCCTTTCTCCTTTCCACCCCACAACCACCATGAGAGACGAGAAAAAGCAACATCCATTACTTCAATTGAGACAGTAAAAATTCAAGCCCCCTAAGATAGGAGGAAGATCTATTCTGTTAAATTAAAGTGGGTCGACGCACAAATTCAACAAATTAACTAAATAAAATTCAATAATCCATTGGAACAGGAAAAATCCTGCCAAATCAGCTTCCTTATCAAATTAAGCAAAATTTCTCATAAATTTGATGTAAGGCTAACAGAAAATTGATCCTCGTCAAGCCCAACAAGTATTTTTCAGGAAAGTAAAAGCTTTTCCCGCATATTTTCACGTTAATAAGTGATTAAATGGAAAACTACATTGGAAAGCAGCGAAAGGAGAGATCACCGGATACACCGGAGCTTTCGCCGGTGAATAAATTACACCGGGAATGAAAGAAAACTCAGATGAAGTTGAAGCTGCTACTGAAAGGCCCGAGTTTGCACCTCCATAAACTCCATTTTCTCTCTCTCCTCTCCAAATCTTTCAGAACCTCCCCACACTCACAGGCACACGCTCCTGCTGCAGTTAGGATAGCTTTCTGGCGGGGCCAAGATTTATAGGAAAGTGATAGGGCGAGAATTACATTTCGACTCCCAAAGTTTGTCTTATTTCGAAGTGCATACCCTACCGGTTGAAAACTATAGGGAACTACGAATAGGAAAATGGTTAGCGTACTTGTACACAAACTTTACACAAAACTTTTCTAGTTGCCTGTGTACACATGCATATCATTTAGAAATTTGCAAAATTTGATATCTAATTATCTATGTACACAGACAATGTACACATTTTGTGTACATCTTGTGTACACCAAGCATGACCCCTACAAATAACAACAACAAGATACTATCTCCGTTCCATAAAAATTACAATAGTTTGACTTTCACGTTTGCCAACGCGCAACTTTGACTATAATTATATTTATTTATGTATTAGTAAACATTAAAAAAAGTTAATATATTGGAAATTTACATTAATACAAATTTATTAATATTTTATACATAATATTTTTATTATATACTACGTACTACCTCCGTCCCTTAAAACTTTGTCAAAGTTGACCGGCACGGAGAATAATAAAGTAAAAATTGTGTGGTTGAAGTTTGTGCAGAGGAGAGAGAAATAAAAGAAACCACAAAATAATTGATTAAAAGGGAAAGTAGCAAAGTTTTTTGGGACGTCCCAAAAAGGAAAGATGACAAGTTTTAAGAGACGTAGGGAGTATATTATTAGAAAATCGTAATCAAAGTAAGGTGTGTGAATAGTGCAGAAATTCCAATATTGAAACTTTTATGGAACGGATGAAGTATTACTTTTAAAATTAGAATATGGTCAAAATAGTACATGAAGTTTTTTCGAGGGAAGTAAATAGTACTTCATCTTACATTTGAAATTTTAAAGTACATGAACTTGTATTATTATAGTTAATCAAGTACATTTTCTCTGTCAGAACGTTAAAATAGCTGACCTGACCAAACTATTTGTTTGTATTATACTGTTGCAATCCAAGTCACCAAATAATTAATCTATAAGCTCTATTTTCCTCTAGTCCACTCGTTTTCACTCGTATTATACATTTGCTTCATCTTATATTTTTCTCGTCTGTTCTCCCTTCTCTCCTCACTACATCTTATATTTGTCCCGTCTACTCTCTCTGTTATCCCGTCGGCTTCTGCTTTTTACACTACTTTATTTTCTTCTCTCGCTATAATAAAGATGGACCGATAGCAATTAAAAGAAGAAGGCGACAGAATAGCAGGGAGAGAAGATGAGAGAGAAGGAGAGCAGCACGGGGCGGAACTAGAGGGGTCCAACCTAGACCCTTACCCACCTCAAATTTAAAAAATGCTTTATTTTAGGGTAATAATTCTGTGTAATTTTTTTCCAAATATATTCTTTGTAACGCTCCAGTTCCGCCCAGTGCCCTAGCTCCGCCCTTGGAGAGCGGACGAGAGAAATATAAGATTAAGAGCGAGAAAAAGGGGAGCAAATGTGAGAAATATAAAATGAAGAGCAAAGGTGGAAATGAGTGAACTGGAGGAAAATAGAGTTTATAGATCAATTATTCGATGACTTGGACTACAACGATATATTACTAACCGATAGTTTGGTCAAGCCAGCTATTTTAACGTTTTAACAGGGCAAATGTACTTAATCGACTTTAAAAGTGGAAGTTCATGTACTTTGTAGGTTCAAGTGTAAGATGGAGTACTACTTACTCCACTTGAAACAACTTCATATACCATTTGGACCATTTTCTCCTTTTAAAATTAGTTCCAAGATACGGAATACTACGAATTAGGCATCTAAATATAAAAATAGTTATTGTAATTGGCTGATTGGTATGTGTTGAATTCCCGATTTTTTATTTTTGTATGATTTTATTATGAATTGAAACATTTCAATAGCTACAAAGGTATATTTATTTAAACACATATAATTAGTTCTACTAATGAATTAAAAAACAATGTAGTCCTATATGTGATTATTGACTACCTTTACTGCTATTTAGATAATTAACACATCTCTTTATATTTATAAATTGGATCATCATATAATAACTTTTTATATACACTCCTCATATGTGTAGCATACCCCTGGATCAGTTTAGCAGCATCAATACATTATCGAAATAAAATAGGAGTAGACAACTTTTTCACAAAAGCACAAAAATAAGTCAAATGCGAATAACTTGATAAAGTCCAAATAAAATTCTATGAACAAGAACTTTTTATGCAAAATGACCTCTTGCGCAGTGGTAAATACTTTCCTTATTCTTGCACTTTCTCCACATCCAACTTATATCTTATTTTTTATCTTGAATTGCTAAGGTTTAGTGGCAAGCAAGTTTCACAAAGACTCCATCAACTCTTTACTCTCTGCACAAAGAGAAGGAAGTTGATGTAACAAAAATCTCTTTGCATATTACTTTAGAGGAGAAGTAGAAAGCTATCATCATGTACCTATGATGCATGTCATGCGATGCAGAAAGAGTACACACAATAATAAACAATAAATGTATCATTGATTAAAGAAACCAATCATATTCATCACATCAGTTATTCATATAAGAGAACCAATACCCCTACAAAGTGGCCTGTATGTTTAGGGAAAATATAGAAGAAAAATCGTATAATTCAGTTTTTGAAAATTAAAATGAGAGTAATTTAACGATATTTTTCAAAGATTAAATTTTTAGTACATAAATAATTAAAATGTAGTCAAAGTAGAGAATGTGAATAATGTAAAATTCAACATGTTGCATCTATTTAAGAACGGATGTAGTATAACATAGTGACAAGATCATGTAAGTGTAAAAAATGAACATAACTTAACATGATTAAAACTAGTTGTACCTTTAGGCCTTGTTTGGTTCAAAGGAGGGGAGAGAAGGGGATAGTCAAGGCAGTGCCGTCTTTAGTTTGTTTGATGCCCTAGACAAAAACTAAAATTACATTTTCATACGGTGTTAATCAGTAATGTTTTACACCTTAATTAGGTACTATGTATATATAGTAACAAATTATATACTCCTTCCATTCCATAAAATTCTTCTCACTTTCCTTTTTGGGTCGTCCCAAAAAATTCTTCACACTTACCATTTTTAGACAATTTGTGTGGTTCACATTCATTTCACCTTTTTCTTACACAACCACAATTATACATTTTCACTTTATTCCACTTTCTTTAATCTCCGTGCCAAGTCAAAGTGAGAAGAATTTTATGAGGCGGAGGTAGTATTGTTTAAAACATTATCGTTGAAGTACATAATCACTTCTGAATATTTCATAGTGTATAATTAAATTAAGAACACTGTTTTCTTTTCCTTGGTCATGTTTAATTATATTGACTATATTGACTAAATACTGCACTTCTGCGTAGTGGAGTATTTCTTTTTCCAGTACCGAAGAGGGAGCACCAAATACTGATTATATAACTATAATAGTTTTATTTTTAAAAATTGATGCCCCACATTATTTTGGTGCCCTAGGCATATGCCTACGTGCCTCCCTCTATAGCCGGTCCTGAGTCAAGGAGGGATGGGAAGGGAAGAGGAAGAAAGGATTTTGATAAAAATTTGTGTTTGGTTGGAGGAAATATTTTTGTAATTTACTTTTATATGATAGCTTACTTAAAAAAATAGATACATGTCTAACTATTGTGAATATTACTCCTATGGTCGTGAGTGATAATTTTATTTTATTTGATTTTTTACTTTTTTAATTTTATAATTTTTCATTTTTCAGTTTGCAATTTTTAATTTTTAATTTTTTTTTTTATTTTTTTTTATTTTTAATTTTTAAAATTTTTAATTTATAATTTTTAAATTTTTTGATTTTTAAAATTTTTAATTTTTTAATTTTGAATCTCTAAATTTTTAAATTTTTTAATTTGTCATAACTTTTTGTTTTTTACCTTTTTATATTATAAGGTTTTGTTCATTCACGTAGGAGATGAATAGTTTGTGGTTATCAACACGTTGCCTTCGAAATACCCGGATTAGGGGGGTTTAGAATGGGAGGAAGTGGAGTATTTTGAAAGTCTTCTACTTTCCTTTCCTTCTCCACTATTTTCTTCAACCAAACACACACAAATCCCCCACTTTCCTCCCCCTCCCCTCTGAAACCCTCCAACCAAACAGGGCCTTAAGGGGTCACATTTTTATGAACAACCATTATTTTAGTTATACATATTCTAGATCTATTTTATTTTAAATAGCTAGGCATCGCATGCATGTGGCGGTGTAGACCAAAGTTTGGCCTGAACAGTGCAGCGCCACCATCATGTGTAGCCATTTGGTGATTGAAGAGGAGGTTGAAGGCTTTGCTTTTGACATAACAACAAAGTGAACTGTAGGGCTTCTCTTGTATCGTTACGAGCTTAGGAGGTGTGCCACAAGTATGGCCAAAGTTTACAGCGTAGCAGGTCAACGAATATGGAGGTCAGCGATCCGATGGAGAATCTGGAAGCTCGATATGATCAATTAATGCTGAAGGGAACGGAGATGGGCGGAGGAAGATCAAGTTGTGGGGGTACCTATCCTAACTCACCTTGCTTTTGCAGATGATCTTCTGATCTTCACTAATGGGAGTAGCAGATCCATTACTTCCTTGAAGACATTCCTGGATTCCTACCAGAATGCATCTGTCCAATCCATTCATTTCAGCAACAACACTTATATATGTGGTAAATCCGCACACTCCAGGGCTGCCAATATTCACTCTCTACTCGGGTTGAAAAAAGGAAAGCTCCCTCTCAAGTATCTAGGGGTGTACCTGCACAAAGGAATAAACAATTTCAATTACTGCAAAGAGCTTATTAACCAATTTGAGACTAAGCTTTCACCGTGGTATCAAAAAACTTTCTCAAGGGGGGAGACTTATCTTGATTAGACATGTTTTATCCTCTATCCCACTTCACATTCTGGCAGCTGACATCTTGCCTAGAAGGGTCATCAATATCTTGGAAAAGCTCATGGCCAACTTTTTCTGGGGTAACAAACATCATTGGATCAGATGGTCCAGACTTTGCCTACTTACAAATGAAGGAGGCCTAGCTATCAGATCATTAACAGATGTTGAAAAAGCCTTCACGTTGAAACTATGGTGGAAATGGAAAACAGGAAACTCCATTTGGAGTAACTTCCTAAAGGCTAGATACCCCAGGAATGACAACCTTTCCCCAAGACTCACTGTCCACAATTTGGAAGCGGATATGCTCTATTCACAATCTGGGGATGCTACTTACCCAGCAAGATGAGCAAGGAGAGATTCAGTGGCTTCCCTCCCAGGACAAACTCTTCTCCCTTAAATTGGCCTACAATGAAGTGAGACTTCTTCAGTCCCCTACATTCTCATCTACTCAATTCTGGAATAAACAACAACACATGACCATCAAACTTCTTCTTTGAAAACTCTACAATCGAATTCTTCCTACCCCAGAAAATATAACCAGACTTCAATTTCAGGTCTTTCCCTCCCAATGCCCTTTCTGCCATAAAAAATCAGCTCTCATCAATCACATGTTCTATCAGTGCACGTTGATAAAACCTATATGTAATTTCTTTATGGGCACACTCACAGTCCCCCTTCCTAGATTCCAATGCTCTCTAAGACAAATTTGTTTCTCCTTGTGGCTTGAGCAAGGCAATAATAATCTTATTGATCTTATTAGAAATGTTCTACCTGGAATAATCATATGGCATATCTGGAAGCACTATGCAGAAATTACATGGGGAAATACCACAACGCTCACTTCTACCTCCAAACTCATTCAACAAATAACACATTACACTCAAAATTGGTCTTTAAGCTCCATAAAATCAAACCAAGCTCGGCTTTGAGATAATTAATTGAGGAAGGATTTATTCACCCAGCCCTGATACCCTTACCCCGGAAACCCAAAATCCTTAAATGGATCAAACCTACTCCCTCCCTCAAACTCAATATTGATGCAAGCTTCTTACCTGACTGCTCTAGAGGATGAGCGCTCATGAGGAACCAATACGGTAAGCTTATCTTCGCGCTACAATTCGAACAGAAGGCATCGTTAGTGTTAGAAGCTGAACTTCGAGCTATTCATATAGCAACTAAATGGACTTTGGAACATGGATACCTGGCATTCGCAGTAGAATCAGATTCTCTTTGTTGTATCAACATGATTAAAAGAGGCCACCCCAACTACAGATCGAAGGCTATGATAGAAGAGCTTCGAAGATTTTCTACCGAACATGGCATCAACTACTTCCACATCTATCGGGAGTGCAATGAACTGGCCCATCTATTGGCCCAGACCTCCTCTCATATGGGCGAAATAAATGTTCTTCAATCCGTTTTTGATTTACCTATTGCTATTAGAATTGCTATTTTAAGTGACTCCTCAGGATTACCCCATCTTCGTTTCTAAATTTTCTCCGAGCAGGTCTTCTGTAAAATCCCATTTTTCTCTAATAAATTTCACTTTCTATATATATGTGTGTGTGTTTATAAGTAGATAATAAGTATATAAGTAGATATAATAATTGTTTAACTAATATATAATATAATGTTTATAGTATATAATATATAAATATATTACTATATAAGATGAGTATTACACTTATATTTAATACTTTAATATATATAAGTATATATTAAGTAGAAGTAATATGTAAATATAAGTAAATAACAATAATATAATTAAAAAACATTTTTTAAAAAAAGAGGCCCGGACTGGATCATTTTTTGGAGACCCAGAAATCGGCCCAAGATAATACGGTTCGGGTCCACTGAATCGGGCCTGGAACCGGGCCGCGGGCCAGGATGGTTCGAAATAGTACCGATTCGGGCCAGTTTCGGTCCGGTTGACCCAGCCCGAGTCCATCCCTACATGCTTGACGAAAAAATAGGGTACTAAAGGATTTCTTTTGCTCATGTTCTCTCTAGAGTTTGGTAGTACTTTGTAGATCATGGTGGGTGATGAGAGGTCTCTGTTGACCATCTTTGGCTTACTTGTGCTCAATTTAGGATCAACAAGCTATATTTCTTTTGAAGAGATATTAATTCTACGTCTGATTCGAGAGCTGATGACCCAAAGGAGACATGTTGTCCTAATGTAACTTGCCTAAATTCTGATATTTTAATATAAACCATTTGCAATAAAAAAAAGTTCATACCGTTTGATAAAAAAGGATTCTTTAAAAAATAAAAAATTGGTAGTACTACCTCTGTCCCTTAAAACTTTGCCAAAGTTGACCGGCACAGAGAATAATAAAGTAAAAATTGTGTGGTTGAGGTTTGTGCATAGGAGAGAGAAATAACAGAAACCACAAATAATTAATTAAAATGGAAAGTGGCAAAGTTTTTTGGGACGTCCCAAAAAGGAAAGATGCCAAAGTTATAAGGGACAGAGGGAGTATTTGATAAAAATGTATTATTTGTTTGATAGAAAAAATGAAAACAAGTTAAAGTACCCCAAGCCCCAAACTACTTTCAATTTTTAGCTTTAATGTTTTTAACTTTAGCAAAAGTTATCTCTTAAAACCACTATTAATATAACCCTTATCGCGTCATACAACTTTTGTAATGATACTTTTGTAAAGAATATAAAATTGTTTCTACATATAGGGATCAATCCAAAATAACCTTTAGACCATCATAATCAAAGAGGAAAGTAGAACAAATCGCTTACTTCCTAAAGCACTTGTTAATCATAATATAAGCGTCAACACCTTCCATGTATGTCTTCAAATCCCATTTACAGTTTTAAAGTCTATTGCACCAATGTTAGAATATCCATCTATGGATTCCTTAAATAGTCCTATGATTTCAATGTGCCAATATTGGCTCTGCTCTCATCACAATTAATAACAAATTTATGGTGTCCAAGTTCAAGTTTTCAATTAACACTTAAAATCTTCCTTAAAATGTAACATGACATGGAATGAATACACCATTCATCAACAAAGGATATTTTAGAGTCATGCATCCAGCCAAATTTGAAAATGCTATGTCCTCTACAACCAATCCAGTTAGATCGCATCTTATTTAGAATGGTGAAAAGCCCTGGAATCCCGTATAAACAAAGGGGGAAACATCACAAGAAAACAAAATAATCTATATATGCTGTGTGAACTATGAGATTCTAGTTGACATTGGGAAGAGTAGAGAGACACTTATTTACAAGACTTACACCACCCTTACATAATATCTTTATCAATTCTCACAAAGTTTCTGCATAGGAAAACATATTCTCAATCTAGTACAACAGTTGCAGAGTATTGATTTACTTTACGTAGTACTTAGTATTTAATAATAATACACACAAAGACAGGCAGATACCTACACTTCTCCAGACCACCTACCAAACTGGACACCACCTGCAGTAAAACACATGGTCAATAACTGCCAGACCATGACTTAATTTTCAAGGTTTTGGAAAAGAAAATGTTCCAGTTTTGGTTCCAAGACTATCAAGTCAATTTCACATCAGATCCACAAGTTCCGTTTGTTCCACTTTTAATGGACATGTATTTCTTGCTCCTGATCACTTATCCAGCAATAAATTAATAGTACAAAACTGAGGCCATGCACCAAAACAGAAAATGACCCAATATTCATAGTACAAAGATGTAAACATTGTTTTAAAACATTCCTGTTATCCTTGTGGTTTAAAGCATGAATTTCTATTTATTTATATTTTCATTCATCAGGGGGGTCATACCCGACATGATTCTGGCACAAGTTTTCATGTGATGTTGATTGTAGAATAAGCTTTTATACTTGTAATTTGTCTGATAAACCATGACATGATTCACAGATCTCTCCAGAAATCAAGGTGCTATGGCCCAACACATGTTGTGCAGAGCTGATAGGTGGAGGGGGAAGTAGTGAAGTCAATCCCGGTGAGCTTATTGCTCATTCGAGCCATTACAACCACAACACGCTTATTCAGAACCTCATTGGCATCTCCAAGTTGGTCAACAGCCTGCATTAAACAACAAAAAGTTACATATAGCAGTGTGTAGCGTAGACATTTGAGAAACTTCATAAGGATAAGTAGAGAGACTTCTCGAAGTGCATGTACATATGTATGTATTATATTTGTGTCACCTGAAGCAATTCCTCACTGTTGACTGCAGCAGGGGTGTGCAGTGTACACATTTGAGGAACTTCATTGAAGTTGAAAAGGCGCCAGTTTATTAGTGGATCATGAACAAATGCCTGAAAGAGATGGAAATGACTATGTAGAAAGATAGTTGGAAGGTTTATTTCCTCAACAAAATTGAAAAGAAGTGCTCTTCTCTGCATTTTACTCTTGTGTGTCTTTAGAAAATTCATTCAGCGCAATTGAGACATTAAATTAAAAGTATTGATGGGAAAACAAATAATTTACCTCCATCATAGTCATTACACTGTCTTTATTCGTCCGAAGAACGTGCATTACATTTTCACAAGTGGAGCGAAAATTTCCTTCAATACCGTTGACTTCCATTGGCTTAACAAGCATTCTAGTGAGGCGGAAAGGTACCTGCACAATAATTTACATTTACAAGTTTTTTTTAATATTTTGTTTCACTTCGTCCAATAAAAACAATCCAGATTCAATACCTACCTTCTCAGGGAACTTTTGTCGATTCATCGAGGCCTCAAAGCAATCCCCAAAGTCAATATGCAGTATTTTTCCGCTGCAAACACACGATTAATAAGAATATCGTTGAATCTTCTGGAACAAGCAACAACACTAGCGAGGCCATGAAGTACCTATATCGATGCAACATGAGATCACTAGGATGTCGATTTCCTAACCCAAGTAAGTAATCTACATGTAACTATTCAAAACAATTTAAATTAATCAGACATAGAAAATGCAATAGCCAAGGAAACCAGGGGACTAACTTATGAGAAACAACAACCTGTCATACTCATTACAGCCAGACTCCTGGTATAGTTTGTTCTCCTCTCTAACCAGACCTCAGATGTGCGACTCTTTAACCAAAGTACCTTTTAAGATTTAAAAATAAAAATAAACAAAATATGAACAACCATTAATTTGAATGTCAATAACAGTAACTAACTTTAAAACAATAAATCCCTACAATGCCTACCATAGCAAGGTCATTCCCTTATGTACTTTGCAGAGTGAACTCAAACACTTCCACCTTAGAAATAAGCAACAACTTATCATAATCAGGAGCAAAATCCAACATCATATTATGCTCTTGATTTAGTGTAATCTACACATTACACAAGCACAACAATTAGATTGAAATACTCCCAATTAGGAGGGACAAATGAGATGGAGAAAGAACTTAAAGTATAAAAAACACATAAAACCTTCCGAGCATCTCTATATTCACGGATGAGATGATGCCAAGTGTCGCGGTTTGGAACTCATCCAATCAGTCCACTATTTGGGGACAACGGAATGACAGCATATCGCTGAATAGAGAGATTTTTCTCTTCAGTTTTTCTAGAATTCTCTAAAAGCGTATTGACAAGGCCAAAAAGCCGATACATAGGATATGCCTCTGGCCTTATATATATGAACATGATTTGAGAATTAATTTAAGCCTTGAAGGGACATTATTAGTGAAAAATAAACAGCATCTTGTGCACATTTTGACTAAAACTAGAGCAGTACCTGCATGACTCGTTCATCTTGGCGCAAATCTCCATGACCTTTTAACAAAAAAGCATAATCCTCCCCATCACTGCCATTAATCGTCAATTTGCGAGGACGTTGCTTGGATGTAATTACAGTAAATTGGGGTGCAAATGATTGGATAGTTACCACAGGCGAATCTGAAAGGATCAGAAGGTGAATATGAAACTGAATTGCCAAAATAGAACCCTACCACTTCAGAGATTTCTCTAATGATTAGTACTGGTTATTACCTGCTCGATAAGTTCCAATAATAGCAAGCTCCAAATCTCTGTATTCTAGCAGTTCGGGTGAGACACACTCGTTTTATCATATTTAAGAAGCACTAAGTATTTGCAATACACTCAGCATAAGCTATGACTGGTAAAAATAATTTATTCTTGCATGCAGATCAAGGGTTGTCAATGCCCAAAGCTGCTTATCTATATGTCTAAATACATGATCGTAGAGACCCCAAGCCTGACATAAAAAAGGTTTAAGGAATACACAAGTTTCAACCTAGAGCTCGAGGAAATAAGGATGTTTAATAATGCAGTACCAAGTTTCATCACTTGGAAATGGAACTGATAAATCGCTTGCAATAAAAATAAAGATGGTACAACCAACTTCAGAAAAAGTTCTACCTGAGTAAGTCCAACATCATTTTCTGTTCTCCTATACCTCATGCAACATTAATACACAACATTCATACGCCACCAATAGTTTTTGGTGGTATGCCTGCAACCCAAATGGTGTCCAGTTTACTCTATCATGTCAGATTTATTGTGCTATGAAACTACGGTAAGAAGTACTCCCTCCTCCCCAATAATTGTCCTATTTTTTCATTTTTGTATGTTCCCCTATTATTGTCTCATCACTACTAGAAAACTGTGTTACAGTGACACTTGTTTAGTGACACTATTTCATAAAGTGTCACAGTTGTACGATTTTTTTTACGATACACAAATGTCATTGATGTGTGACACTATGACATCAAAATTGAACAGTGATACTTAGGGAGATTTATTAATTATATTTTGTGGCCTAACCTTTAAAAAAGAAGTAAAACCTAACATTCTCTATTCTACCGAGTATTTCTTTGTCTTTTCCCAATTCGAAGGCAGACTCTATTTCGTTCAAATAGGATATGCCTCTGGCCTTCTCCATTTTGGTTGTGCTTGTCTCTCTCAAGCAAAAGATGAAGACGACTCACCGCAGCTGCTGCTCTCAAGCCAGAGATGAAGACGATGCACCGCAGCTGTTGCTCTCAAGCCAGAGATGAAGATTACGCACCGCTGCTGCTCTCAATTAAGAGACGAAGATAACACACCGGCATCGCTGCTCTCAATTAAGAGACGAAGACGATGTACAGGCATCGCTGCTCTCAGCGGGTACCCCTCTTCAACCCTATTTCACATAAAATGCATTTTTTGCTATGGATTATATATAATTTTTTTACACCCTTGCTCTGTAATTATTGTACTGAGTATATATCTTTGTCGATGTTCTTTTTAATTTAACTAATTTGGGATTAGGGCATCAAAATTATTATTCGTAAATGCCTGAGTTTCTTATTGACTATAACTTATTTGTAAAAATGTCTAGATGGGATTCACAAAATGAGGTACATCATGCTACATTCTACATCCCCTGTATTAATCATCTTCTAGTAACATATTACATGATCTTACAAAACCTAAGAGGTAGATGCTCGAACATATACAAAGTTCTCCTTTTTGTTCTACAATTTGCTTTGTACAGTCTGAAAATTTTAGGTTGTTACTGATACTCCTAATTTTTTAAGTATGTCCAAGAGTAGGGGGAAATTGCTAGTTAATGAAGTTACCAGTTCATTTTGGAGAATAAAAGCTCGCTGCAACATTAATATTTAAAGGTTTTTTAACCTTATCACTTTATTAGTTTTTTCCTCTTAGTCATTTTAGCCATATCATGGATCTTTTGGAAATAAGGCCTATATGTGGTTGTTGTAGTAGTCATTTTAGACATATATCCCTCCTTATTGCAGATTCTAGTTGATAGAGTATATATTCTAGAGAGAAGTGAGAGCTAGAGAGAGAAGTGCAATAAATACTTGCTATTAATGATTTGTGAACCCCCTACAACTACTCCCAAGGGGAGTATTTATAGAGGAAATTATTGTTGGGCTCCCAAGTATTGGGCTTGGGAGGCCCCTTTACAATCGGGCCACTACTGGGCCGAGTACAAAGAATGTAGAAATGACTAAGTATGGAATCCGGTTCTGTGAGCTATTTCCATCCGATGCGGGTCTGGTCGACGGAGCCATGGCCGACGGTGACATCCGGTTCTCCTGTCTTCTGGATCATAATTTGAGTCGATATCTTTCTGGCTGATGGAGGGCCATCTGGCCGACGGAGGCCCCACTGGGTGACATATGTGTCTCTTATTCTTCTGAGTATGTGGGTCCTGGGGTCCAGACCCATATACTCCATCAGGAGTCCCCCACTCTATGAGCTGAGATGCAGACGAAGTGAGGGAGAGTAGATTCCATAGTCTCGATGTTTTATGGCCGATGTGGCCGTCTCCTATTTTGGTTCTTCGTGTTTGGCCATTGTATGCTCTTCACTGTGGACGAAGAAGGTTGATGTTCCTCTGATGGTGCACGTTTGTTTGTTTGAGGATGATGAGTGTCCTGGCTCAGTGGCCAATATGTGTTCTTGATTTGAATAGCCGATGAGGGTGATGTTTCTTCTTTCTGGTCGTTGGCGATTGCCTTTTCTGTTTTGGCCGAGGAGGCCCCATAATTGCTTGTGTACTTCAGGCCGAAGCGATGATACTCGTAGTTTGGTGTCCATGTTTTTGAGGACGGTAACGGCACTGATCCAAAGGAAGTTGTGCGTATTTTGGTCTCATGGACGATGATGGCATTTTGGATCCGGGGGCGTGTTCCTGTTTCCTTATCTTGGCCGAGAGTGGAGTACGTGATCCTAAGGCCGTTGAGTGCCACACGTCAAGGGACGATACGTGGTTGATACAATGTTGTAGTTGTGGACTTATGTTTTTTGGATCTTCGATTTTGTCCTTTCATTTTGGGGCCAATGTAGTCCCCCAGTCCCCCACTGCTTCAGGCCGAAGAGTGAAGGGTGAAGGAGTAAGACACAAACTTAGGCCGAAGCGGGGTCCTTGTATTCCCTTGAATCCAACCCCTTGGCGATTTCTTGACCTAGGTAACCCTGTGGGAGAACCCTTGGACGCAGGTCGCTTTCAAGAAATCATCATCAGGATTTTATACAAGGGCCGATGGCTGTTGTATTCTTTTTCACTTTGCTTTTGTGGCCGTTGTGGGGGGCATTTAGTTGGTGATTCGTGTGGCTGATATGGGCACACTTTGTGGTGTCACCAGCCGTTGAAACGATTATTGGCTGCCAGGGCCGATGTAGTCGTGTTCTGTGGAGGCATACATTTCTCTTTGGTGTGGCCGTTGACTGTCTTAGCCGTTATGAGTGCTGCTTGCTGGTACGTTAGGAGTGGAGTGGTACTACTTGAAGTGGGCCTGGCCCATCTTCTGAACCGGTGGTAGCTTATTGGGCCTTGGGGGTGGTGGCCGTTCACGTGGCCACTGGGAGGGTGCCACGTGTAGTGACCGTTGGGGGGAGGCCTATAAATACCCCCCTTTCCGAAGGAAGTCTCCATTTGCAACATGAGCTAACGAAGTGCTGCCCAAATTTCTAGAGAGAGAGAGAGCTTGCTCGAGTGTTCTTCCGTTCTTCAAAACTTCAAAGGTCAGTTCATCATACTTTTCTCCGATTTCTTGCATGCTTTGCTACCTTAGGCCTTGTGTTAGAGATATTTTTATAATTGTGATCCATGTATTTTAATTAGCCTTTTTGTAGAATTTATTACTCTAAATAGGCCTTAAATGGCAATGGTATACTTACCATAATAGGAATGGGCCTCTCTTTCAAGAGCCAATCATTATTTACCTAGCATTCTACAAGGCTATATATATGCCCTTTGTAGAATGCGTAGGTAAGTTTTCCAAATATTACAGCAGCAGAGCATATTACATAGAAGAGAGGTTTTTACGCTATATTCATTTCCTATCATTCTGTAAAAACATTCTTCAATGGAAAGATTCTACTATATCATCTAGAGCATCATATTCATACATCATTATATAGATATAGTATAGTGATAATAGGGACAAACATTTGGTATCAAAGCAGGACTGATCGACCAATTGAAGCGGAGAAGAAGAAGCTTGCGCCAAATTTCATCGTCTGTTTTCTTCTCACGAGCGATTTGTAGATTGTTTGCTTTTACTGATTTTGCAGGAAAATGTATACAGGAATATGTTTCTCTGATTGCTAGGAATCATTCTATGTATTTTTCTCAGCAATATCATCGGTGTACAGGTTAAGCAGAGGAAGAGCGATTCTGCACTTTAGCGCATCTCACTGAGGAAGAAATAGTTTTAAGGCTTCATGCGCGAATCTCTTTCCTGCGCGTTAGAGGTTGTGCGTGAAACTTAAGTCTATTTTTACTCCTTGTGCCAAAGTGCTCTGCACCAAAGTTCCATGCGCCATTCTCAAATATCTCGTGCGCCATTCTCAGAATAGCTCGCGCGCCATTCTCAAATCTCTCGTGCGCCATTTACAAAGCTTGGTGCGCCATTCTACTTGTGTGAGATTTCTGACCGTGAGCTATTGCTTGTGAAACATTTTCAAACAGCTAAGACCACCATTATATTAACCTTCTGCTCGAAGAACTCTACAAATTAAGACAGACCCTAAACAATTAACAGATCAGCCCAATTCAAAAGATGGATGCTCTTTCCATAAGAAATGACACTGGACCCCCAATTCTAAGAAGAGGAGAGTACAATGTTTGGAAGAATAGGTTCCTTAACTTTCTCGAAAGCAAAGATCAATCTTCTGGCTTGCTGGACTCAATCACTAATGGACCTGCTCAGCTACTGATAGCTATTGATAGAAATGATGAGAACAATCCACCTCTTGAAGTTGAGCTGCGACCGAAGACCGTTGACGAATACGATGATGAGGACCGAGCAAGAATCTGTGCTGACTTACTCACGAAGACCTACCTGCTCCAAGCTATCCCGAATGACATCTACATGCAAATTGATAGCATGTCAACTGCAAAAGAGATGTGGGATGAAATCTTCAAAATTATGCAAGGAACTGAAATAGGAGTCAAAGCAAAGAAAGCAAGCACATTCACAGCATTTGACTCATCCAAAGCAAAGCTAGGAGAATCTCTTGAAGACATCTATCTCAGGTTCCTACAACTGATAAATGAAATGAGAAAGATTGGAGTTCACAAATCAAACATGGAGCTGAATGTGAGCTTTCTGTCGGCACTTGGACCGGATTGGAGAAAGCTATGCTCTCTGATCAGACATACAAAAGATCTTGATGATATGGACATCCATGCTGTATACAACACACTTGACCAATATGTTGTAGACTTTTCTGACTATGTTCACACAACTGTGATGGCTGAAAAAGGCAAGGACGTTGTTGACAAGCTAGCTGATACTCTTGCGCTAATGCTTGACAAACCCTCCAAATCTGGCTCCAAGAAGGATAAAATGAAAGTTGAAGAAAGTGAAAGTGCTGATAGCGACATCGATTTCTGGGATGAAACTGACAATGATGATGAACTGAGTGAGTTTCAAAAGCAGATAGCACTTCTTACTTCTAGGTTTAACAACAAGATGCTGAAGAAGAACACATCCTCTAATAAGCTCCGAAAA